CCTCGCCTAGGTCGACTCAGCCTCAAATGAGTAACCTGGTGCGGTACCTAAAAAAACATCGCCAACTGGGGAGATACAGGTGGTCGGGCGTGGTGCTGGCCACCCACCCTCTGCCGGCCTTAATAAATGCTCGCTATAACAGCACTTGTCCCAACCGTCTGTTAAAGGCTATACGGGGGATCTTTGTTGTTTGCAGCGGTGTAAGTTTCTTAACACCCCCTTCCCCCTCTTCAGACACCTGGCCAGCGTGGAAGAGTAGGCCAAATACCTTCTAGAGGCCCTACCTGCCAGCAGCGGCGTGAGCAAGCAATTGCAGGGTTGCGCTTTTACCTTTCACTTTATTTCATATAAACGCTGTGGGAGCAGTGGCGCAGTGGTAAGCGCACTGTACTCTCATACAGTACGAGTAACTCTGAGTTGGATTATCGGCCCCGGCTAACATCAGTGGCAAATTCAAGTGACATCTGGTCCGGTCCGGCCTTCCACCATTCATCGAGACGCACTCGCAGTTATCAACGTGGCGAAGTGTGACCGCTTCACCTTCCACTGTCGACACAGCATGGGGAGGGGGGTGCCTTCATTCAGCAGTGGATTACTCGAGAGCTGTAAGATGAATTAGGCTCACAACAATTTGTCCAAACTGTGCACTGCTGGACTGGGAGTCCATCCTATGTAAAACCTCCAAAGGTATTTGTTCGTAAACACTCGAGGCGAAGTAACCATTCAGTTGCTGTGGTTGTACAAAATAACTTCGGCTGTGCCTGCTTGTTTAGAAACATGCTTTTTAGAGTGTTCGTCTGCTATAACTGTCCATAAGAAAAATTGTGCAATTAATTAAATGGTGGGGGGGGGGGGGGGCTGTCCAATGTCTCTCAGTCCTCCCTCTCCGTAGCCCGGTGCCTGGACCCAACCTCTGGTCCGTGGCCCCTGGTGCACGTTGCCACAGCCTTGCACGCTGTCGATAGCCACGCCGCTGCAGTGCTTTCAAATTTTTTATTTATTTTTTCTTAATTTAAAATTTTTACCTACGTGACTTTACCGAAAAAACCTAAAAATATGAAGCCTTTTAAACCCGGAGTGGAACTTGGATGTGACTGTTGGGAGCACTCTGTCGCCCTCTGCTGGCTGACAGCACTCACGACCACCATTGGAATCTCATTTGCCAGTAAAAATATGATAATTGGTTTTTTGCCCTTCTATCTGGCAACAAAACTGCCACGTTTTTACGGAGGAGTCATGTTTACATAGACCACAATACCTGCAGTCATAATGCATTATGACTGCAGGTATTGTGGTCTATGCAAACATGACTCCTTGTAAAAAAGGTGTCAGTTTTGTTGCCAGATAGAAGGGCAAAAAAACAATTATCAGCACTCACGACCACCACCCCCCGTGGATGAATTATCTCCGCGACGCTCGATAAGAGATGGGCACGACAGTCGACAGAGTTACTTAGCATTGCGCAGTGAGCAATAAAGTAGGTCGCCTGGTGTTGGCGGAGGTTTACATTTAATGTTTTCACGTAAAAAAAAAACTTTATTGGGAAATAGAATAAAGGGGAAAAGCTTTTCCCATATATTGGTACTGGCAAAGGAGGTCCCATGATGTAGCTGCTCACCCCGAGCTCTCATTGCTCTGATGGTGCATTGTCTTTGAGCTGTATGCCTTTTGGCATCCTCTGGTCTAACACCGTTTTGAGACGAGGCTCAAAAGAGAGCTGTCTCTGGTGTGGACCAATCAGTTTGAAAGACAATGCATATATTATTAGAGTATGGTTTTTGTTTGCATTCTGAGCACAAGTATTGTGGTTAATGCAGACATGATTCCTTGTAAAAGGTTTCAGTTTGGTGTTTTAACATCTTAACACCTGTTTTGTTGCCAGAAAAAGGGGGAAATCTCTTCTCAAACAGTTAATTGTCGCCTCCCTACAAACTTAGCAGGACCCTCCTGAAAATGACTAAACAAGCAGAATTATGTCTTAAAAAAATCCAAATCCTTCCTAAGCTGTATTGCGAAATATATATTTTAATAACACTTCATTTGTGTTAATCAGTATTGTGCCGAAGGAGATTTCCATTCGGAACTCTGTAGCTCGCAGTGCATCATCATCACCATGTGTTTTTCAGAAAATGGCCCTGGAACGTGATGTCACAGAACTACGTACGAGTTCACTTCCATGAACCTCTTTATCCAGACTAGGGTCACATCTTTATTTGACCTGCAAAGAATGTTCGTCTCATGCCCGGTCTCACAGTGGCAATTCGTCTCATCAAGTGGAACCCATTTGCAACGTTATTGTTTTGTGTGTGTGTGCTTATTGATGACCGTACTGAGACCATCAAATCGTTAGACTTGGGTACCCAGTCTAATCACTGGATGCAAACCCAGGACATCAGTGGTACCGGCTCAGTGCTCTAATCCCCGAGCCTCCCCGCGATCTCAATAATAGATCAAAATGTTCAGCCGGGGGGTCGAGTGGCAGCGCAGGGGATAGCGCACCGTGCCATGAACCAGACGACCTCAGTTTGATTCCTAGCCACAGCTCACATCAGTGGTGAGTGGTATCAGAACCATTCCTGGGCCTCCCGCTGAGTCGATTCGGCCTTAATACGAGTGCCTAATGCGGCGTGTAAACATTAGCGGTGGGGAGATGAAGTTAGTCCCGGAATGGTGCTGGCCACACCACACCCTCGTGTACCGCGGTAGCTTCAACAGGTGCTCGCTAACAGCACTTGACCCAGCAGCCGTCTGTAAGGCTATACGGGAGTGGTGGTGCAGTGGGCCACGCAATACCTTACGATCCCTGTGATCTGGGTTCGATTTCTGTCCAAGCACACCAGTGGCAAGTGTTCACCGAATCGGTCAGTGCCTGTCAGTTGAGGTTACGATCTCCCAGACTGACCACACCGTGTCTCAGCCATCACACTACAGGCCACAACACTCTGCGTCCTTTCCTCGCACCGCTCCACTTTGTAATTCCACCGATTCAGTATGAATTTGGCGAATAGAGAAACGCTTAAACTTTTTCATGACAAAGTCGTGTAAATGTGTCCTACGCCCACCTCCACCAGACATAGCCAATCAGTAAGGGTTGTCACGTGAGCAGAACGTTGCCAATTTGTTACGACTTCAGCACCACCGCTGTGTTGGAGAGCAAACCGACAACAACATTGACAATTGAGTACGACGTCTTGCTGGTAATTACAACCAGCATCATCCGGCGTTTTGCCAGAAGTGTGAAAGTAGTAACCAATATCATTAAAATTGGCCGCGAAAGCCTACATGTGAAGCATTCACTTTAATCCATTAGATCTTCTATAGTGCAGTCTGTTGCTGGCTGCTTGTAACTTTGGGCCAGTGAGACTGCGCTCAGCAACTGTGATTCAAAAATAAATAAATCATCCGTTTTTTTTTTTTAAATGTGCCCGCCACTTTAATCTCGATCGTGCTCTCGGCATCACGTCGCCGTCACGAGCCCAAACATCCTTTCGGAAACTCTCGCAGAGCAGCGCAACGGCCCACGGAAGTGGATGCCACAGAGCTACCTCTGAGATCCCGGCAAGTCACCTCAAGCCCACGCACAGTAGAGGTCAGCCTTAAAATGAGCTCGAGACCCAGCGTGTGAACCTCAGCATTGCGGGGAGACACAAGCGGCCACGCGCGGCGTTGGCTGCGCCGCTTCACTGAATTGCATTGTGGGTTGTTGTGGCAGCCGTCATGGGTGCCTATTGAGCTCACTTGCCTCTACGAGCCATACTGAGTCGCTGGATCTGTGCGTCTTACTGGGCCGTTGATGTCACTGCGGTTTTATCCGCGGAGGGCGCGCGCGCGGAGTGGATTGGGAGCCGGGTGTTATATTTTACACCTTTTCTCGAAATCCGCCACGCGGATTGCAGCTTTAAGCTTGCCAAAGTAGGCTCATTATAACCGTGCTAATTAAATGTTCGGCATATTTTGTTTTAATGTACCCGCGGCACAGAGAGCGCGTGAACAGAATAGTTTGATGGGGATGTGCTGCAGGACGAAGTGTATTGTTATCCCGGTGACACGACTTCCACGCGGTAGTGTCACAACGGCCGTTCGGCTGTTAGTTTTTTGCTTCATTGAGGGTGGAGCGGTGATGCGGCAGATGGTGCATTGTGCTCTGAACCCAACCAGCTGAGTTGTATTTCCGATCACGGCGAACATCAGTGGCGAGGTGATACCAACCCGCAGTAACTAGCCTGGTCTATAACGAGTAAGTTCAGAAACCCCCATGATCTACGCTACATAGGAAGGTATATGTCCCGCAGTTTATTGATAAAAGGGGCTTGACATGTAAATGGGTGTAATAAAGTCAGAAGTGGTTACCTATGGCTGGTTTCCTTTGGCTGGTTACCTCTGGCTGGTTACCTATGGCTGGTTACCTCTGGCTGGTCACCTATGACAGGTCACCTATGGCTGGTTACCTATGGCTGATTACCTCTGGCTGGTCACCTATGAATGACAGGTCACCTATGGCTGGTCACCTATGGCTGGTCACGGGTCAGGTGGCTCAGAGTTAAAATCCAGGTTGAGGCTAGACTCAGCCCATCACCCCTGCGGGGTATATAAAATAGGTAGCACTTTGTGACAAAGTCGACCGTGCGTTGTCCTATGGATATGCTGTACTCACCGCCGTCATAGGAACGTGGGATTTCCATCACCGGCTCATTGCTGCGTGCGTCTGTGGCTACGACCAGCAAACCCTTATCGCCCATGGACCACACGACTTCTCAGCACCGTCCACGTGTTTCAAGTCGTAGGGCGGCGGCGTATCTGCAAATCGCCGAGAAAACGTCGGCGAATGGCCGAATCGCTTCGGACCGCATCTGAGAATCTCTCGAGTGGTTTGCCCTTCACGGGGACCATTCGACATCGTCTGGGCTACATCCGTCGTCTCGCGACGCTTGTGTCGGAGCGAGGCAATCACCTGTACTACCGACGCGACTGCTGAATTCAATGACCTCGGAGTTCCATCAGAATTTTCCGCTTTTTTTATCGCTCAAAATTAAACGAATACAAAAAAACCCATACACAGCATAATTCTTACCAATAAACCAGACAGGTGGATGCATATTTTTGTTGTTGTTGTGTCTTAGTAAAGCAAACAAAAAGGCACGCCATTGCACACGAGAGCTCTGTCCACAACCCGAGCATGCACCGATATTTAAATCCACGTTTAAATCGCACGTTTTGTTGTTGTTGAGCAATGCAGAACTCCCCTTTATTTAAAAAAAAAAACCGAGATCGCCTTTCGTTGTTTGACCAGTCATGCGATGATCGTAAATAGAAAAATAAAAGCTCGCCGAACAGAAATAAACAATGACTACCCATTTATTTGTTACGATGTAAAACTCTCACAGAGGTGCTGGCACGTAATATATATTTTTAAAACATCGCTTAACAAAAAAAAGTTATTAAAAATTAAAGAAACGACCAAAAAAAAATTCCCTCCCCCCCAAAAAAAATATTTTCCACCATTATGTACAATTAATTTGTCGGGGAAAAAAAGAAACACATTTTAAAACAATGTACAGTATACAAAAAGGTCAAGAATGTGTTTTGTGAATTCTATTTACACAACCAATATATGGTGAAAGGCTTTTCTTTTTGCAATAAAGTAGTGTTTTTTTGTTATCTTTATGTTAAAAAACATAAATGACACTGATGAATGGCTTAGTTTTTTTGTTTTTTTCCCCCCGGGGGCAAGCCACGGCAAGTGGCTGATGGCATTTCGACAGTGCCCCCCCCTGCCCCGCGCTCCCCTCCCAAAACCAACGGATCGCTCTGCAGCCCCGTGTCCCGCCTGTGTATTCATTATCTCGTTATTACGTCGCACCAGCAGATGGAAATAACCTGCATAGAATCCCATTTTTAGGGGGGGGGGGGGGGGGGAGGAGGTTGCTAGGCAACGATGCCACCAGCCTCTGCCATCCCAACACGGAGAGCGTGACTGCGCCACACACAACGGAATGGCCCCTTCGTATATTCTGCGTAACCCTGCCATGCATGCATTAGCAGCCTCGAGTGAATAAGCACGGGCGCTAACGATTAGCTGCGGGGCATTCCGATTTTGTCAGGTGTGCGCGCGTGTGCTTGCGCGCGTGCTTGCGTGCGAGTGCGTTAAAAAATGTACCATGACGGTATTTATTTCTCCCGTGTTTTCAGCCGACCGTCAAGTTCGCGCCCCCAGTGGCTTTGGGCGGCGGCAGGGTGCATCGTCGATCGACACCGCCACGGGCTCGGCAGTATTGCAACGAAGGTCACGCGCGCGCGCGCACCGCTCAGCAGCGCCCGCACGCTCGCTCGCTTGCTCGCCCGGCTGAATCGTCCGGCTCTGCGACGCGCGCGGCGAAATATCGGCGGCTGCGCTCTGAGGGTGACGCCAAGAAGAGGGGGACCGGACGCATGCACCGAGCCTCCCCGCCCATGGGAGGCGAGGGGAAGGGGGGGGGGGGGGCAACGGGCTGGCTAAGGAGGAGGCTTGGGGGGGGGGGGGTCACTCACAGGGTAGGGGGCTACAAGGGGATACGCCCCGGCTGTCTCGCGCATGGCACGGCACGGCCGGGAGGTCTTCCGTGCGTCTCTCTCATCATCATCACCGACCCGGTGGCTTCTGCTGCTATCGGACGCAGCAGCCCACGGCTCGCATCTGTTCCCAAACGGCCGCTTTAGAGTATGCATACAATATATTACACGCGCTCGCATATATATAATGTATTGTGTCTGTGTCTTTTGTAGCCTTCTCTTTAGGGTACATTAGCCCGAAGCGTTAAGCCCCACTGTCTAATACGCACGGTCAAGCAATGCTGCGCTCTTAATTGTACAACGCAAGTTGTGGGGGCAAAGTAACACGGTGCCGGCTGACAGGAACGTAAGCCAGCAGGCTACAACCGTCGCAAGCATTCAAATCATAATCAGTCCTGCCTGATTGCCTTTGGTCGTAATGCTTAGCAGTGAGTAGGACATAGTCAAAGTGCTTAACACTGCCGCATTGAATTAGGAATGTAACGAAGACGGAATAAATTTTTTTTTCATCAATGTTTTTTTTGCGTTATTGTAAGTTTTAAGAACAACCAGAATCAAGACACCGGTACGTGGGTTCGCGAGGGCCAGGAGTTGGGGCCATCAAAGGTGCTGGGACGGTACATTGCACGTCGTTACACTATTGCGTCGAAACACGCCAAACACTGCATGGGTTAGTGTCGATCAACACTGTCCAATGAACACAATTTTAAAAAGAAAACAAAAACTGGCACTTGTCATAGAAGCGTGACATGCTCAGCTACGTAACCTTTAAAAAAGATGCAACTGCATCCTTGCTAGCCATATTTGTTCCATTTTCTCATTCCCTCATCACCATCACTTACATTTTTTTTAATATTCCACTTTATATTCGTCGTTTTCAAACCCATTTCATTTTCTCTCTCATTCTTTCAAACGGACCCCGGCCCGGGTCCGCGTTAGCGTCGCGACCGGCGCTCGCTACGGGACGGCGTGTTCGGCCGGCTCCACCTTCTGGTGCTGCTGCTGCTGCTGGTGCGTCTCCGGCACTTTGAGGAGCTGCGGCAGAGGGCTGCTGGGCGACTGCGCCTGCTGCTGCAAGTGACTGCTGCTGCTGCCGCTGCGCCCGCCGCCGTTGCTGTGCGCGCTGAACGTACGCGGCACGCCCACCGATCCGCCCGTACCCCCAACGCCAACGCCACCGCCAACGCCACCGCCGCCACCTCCACTTCCCACAGCTCCCGATCCACCGCCACCACCGCCGCCGCCGCCGCCGCCGCCCCCGTCTCTCAGCATTGCCGCCTTCTGCTTCTGGCGGTTGCGCGACTGCACGAGGCTGAAGACGACCGCGGCAAGCGAGTTCTGGCCAGCGAGCCGTCGCGGGTACGTCACGAGCGGCGTGGGGCTCACGCGGCCGATCAAGAAGTAGGTCCTCAGCTTGCCCTCCTGCTCGCTGATGCCCTTCACGTAGATCTCGTCGCGGTACTCGAAGGCGAAGCCGCGGCCGCGCAGGATCTGGTAGGTCTCCTCGGGCACCTGGATCCGGCTGCTGAGGCCCGTGCTGTCCATGCGGCTCGCCAGGTTCACCGTCTTGCCCCAGATGTCATACTGCGGCTTCCGCGCGCCGATGACGCCCGCCACCGCGGGGCCCTGGCAGATGCCTGCGGAACGCGTGCCGTGCCGCAGCCGAACGGGAAGACGAGCGATGATGATTTTACATTTTTAGTTATTCATGTTATTTTTACATTTAGGGAGCATGGGCCCTAAAATCCGCAAATGCGAAACTGACGGCATCATAACTCCTTCTTGGTTCTTTCGGTAAAGTCACGTAGAAGGAAAATAATAAAATAATAAAAATTAAACATAATAAATTCTCACGACGTTTTGGTCACAACGCAAGCAGCCGGCTGCTTGCGTTGTGGCCGAAACGTCGTGATAATTATTTTCTTATGTTTCATTTTTATTATTTTATTATTTTCCTTCTACGTGACTTTACCGAAAGAACCAAGAAGATGAATCCCTGCAGTCACGAAAGCTTTAAATCGAAAGGCATCATAACTATTTAACTTTTTTTTTATTTAACCAGGTAAGGCGCACTGATGCTATATAGCTCTTTTTTCAGAAGCGACCTGGCCACACAAATGCATTGTCTCAACGAAGTCGCTTATTGCGTGGACATTTATAACAACCAAATACTCTGTAAATGCATGTTGATTCTAAATGTCGAGGGAAAAACCGAAGGACCCGGATAAAAAAACCCACGCGACCACGGGGAAAGAAAGACATACAAATGACAAATATACAGGCATCAGGGTCAGGATCAAACCCACGACCTCCTCCATACCAGCTGTGGTAGTTAACGTCTCGCTACCGCGGCCTAGATGAACGTAAACACGTTTCTTGAATCGAGCAGGGTTATTGTTGTAAGAGCTTGGGAGAAGAAACGATGATGGGAGGGAATTCCAAAGTGGGAATGGACGCGATGCGGTAATAACCAGGGCAGCCTGAAGTATGGTTAAATAACCCCGGTGACGAACATGTCGTGGATGTAAAATTCCGCCTCTCCTCCTCCCTGCCAACCCACATTAACCCATACCAACCGGCACTAACCCCCACTCACCAGCAATAACCCACACTTACACGCACTGATTTGCACTAACCCGCACTAACCCACACTAACACGCACAATGAAATATGCATTTGGTGCTAAAGAAGTGCAACATACATGCGTACAAATGACCACAACGACCGACAGGCAGGGTCGTAATTATAATATATATTGGGGGGGACACATCCCCCCCAATATTCAAATATGCTCAAAATGCCCCCCCCCCCAATATATTGCTATAAAACACTAATTGCTATGCTATGTAAATAAAAACAACACTTTGCTAAACCTTTGCCACAATATCTGGACTTGTCTTCATGTAAATCAATGCATAGATTTCTGTTTATATGATTGTGGTTATGGTTGTTCTTTATTAATCCATAATCTCTGCCATTACATGCAATGAAACAAGAAATGGTTAAAAAGTAAAAACAGAGCAATGTAATGCAATACACTATTAGACATTATTGTAAAAAATAAATAAAAAGTCCATCCCATGTGTTAGTGAATTTTTTAATATTTTAGGCAAGAAATTAGTTTTAAAATTTAGATATTTTTCTGGGTTGGGACCCCCAGACACCCTGGAAGATTTGGTCCCCCACAATGTTGACTCCATGGCTACAGCCTTGCCGACAGGGCATAGAGAGGGCCTTCATCCAGCAATGGATCACTGTTATTATTAGCGATGCATTAACATTAGCAACATCCATTGCGGCCCTGTCTGCTGTAAGCAATCTTCCCCGAGTTAGCCACTTCACCGGGGGGCTTGGTGGTTATCGGCCTGCCACCGCTCTATCTCGTTATGTCCGGTAATGGGCCAACGCAATTGCACCCGTTGCTATTTTTCACAGTAACTGCCCCTCGCCGTGCTTGGCGCTCGCTGGGAAATTAGGGCTTCTGTAGAAACAGTGGCACTCGTAATAGGCGGGTGGGGAGGGGAGCGGTGGTTAGGGGGGGGGGTGTCTCTATTGATCGATTCGGGCTGAGAGGAGATATCTGTGTGTCGCGTGGTTGCCGACCTCTTCGCTGTGCCAGATCGAGAACCGTCAATGCCACCACCACCCCCTCGCTGCCAACGTTCTCTACCCTTCAACAGATCATCACGCACAGGCTGCGAGGTCGACACAGAGACGCGTGTAAAGAACTTGAGTTGCGTTCTCTACCAGTGGTGAATGCGTTTCCCCTGGGTTCTCCGGTTTCTTCCCCATAGCTAAGAAGATGCACGTTACCCCGAGCTCTCAATATTCTGATAGTGCGCTGTTTTTGAGTTGTACGCCTTTTGGCGTCATCTGGTCCAACACCAATGGAGACTAGGCTCTAAGAAAAGCTGTCTCGGGTGTGGACCAATCAACTTCAAGGACAGTGCATATCATTTTCATTAAATTTCGATTTAAAGATTTCGTGACTGCAGGGATTCATCTTCTTGGTTCTTTCGGTAAAGTCACGTAGAAGGGAAGTAATAAAATAATACAAATAAAACATAATAAAATAATTCTCACGACGTTTCGGCCACAACGCAAGCAGCCGTCCTCTTCTACGTGACTTTACCGAAAGAACCAAGACGATCATTATCAGAGTTGTTTCTTTTTGTTTGCATTTTGACTGCTTGTGTTGTGGTTATTGCAAACATGATGCCTTGTATAAAGGTGTCAGTTTTGTACCAGTTTAAAGGGTAAAAACCTACTACAAGACGCATGTTGTAACTGCAACTCGCACTCACAATGTGTGCCTTCTTGCCCATCGCTTACAGACTTTATGCAAGGGAGTATGCACGTGTCCTCCAAGATCCGAACCCACATAATCCAACTATCTGCCCTTCAGTCTTCCAATTGGTCTCCACTACACCCAACAAAAAACTTTACTTCCTGGGCAATGGGCGTTTGAGGGTTATCACGTTTTTACAAGGATGCTCCCACCACCTCTTAGCGATGCGAACGTACCCACGCGGAGCTCGAAGTTGTTGAAGGAGTGCGTATTGATGTCTCGCAGCGTCTCCTTCATGGCCAGCGCGAAGTCGGCGAGGCAGCTGAGGTGGGCCCACTCGTCCTCGGAGTTCTGGCACACGCAGGCAGATGCACGCACGGAGACGCACACACACGCAGACGCACACACACGCAGACGCACGCACGGAGACGCACACACACGCAGACGCACACACACGCAGACGCACGCACGGAGACGCACACACACGCAGACGCACACAGACGCACGCACGGAGACGCACATACGCAGATGCACGCACGGAGACGCACACACACACAGACGCACACACACGCAGACGCACGCACGGAGACGCACACACACGCAGACGCACACAGACGCACGCACGGAGACGCACATACGCAGATGCACGCACGGAGACGCACACACACACAGACGCACACACACGCAGACGCACGCACGGAGACGCACACACACGCAGACGCACACAGACGCACGCACGGAGACGCACACACGCAGATGCACGCACGGAGACGCACACACACGCAGACGCACACACACGCAGACGCACGCACGGAGACGCACACACACGCAGACGCACACAGACGCACGCACGGAGACGCACACACGCAGATGCACGCACGGAGACGCACACACACACAGACGCACACACACGCAGACGCACACACACGCAGACGCACGCACGGAGACGCACACACACGCAGACGCACACAGACGCACGCACGGAGACGCACACACGCAGATGCACGCACGGAGACGCACACACACGCAGACGCACACACACGCAGACGCACGCACGGAGACGCACACACACGCAGACGCACACAGACGCACGCACGGAGACGCACACACGCAGATGCACGCACGGAGACGCACACACATACAGACGCACACACCCGCAGACGCACACACACGCAGACGCACGCACGGAGACGCACACACACGCAGACGCACACAGACGCACGCACGGAGACGCACACACACGCAGACGCACGCACGGAGACGCACACACACGCAGACACACGCACGCACGGAGACGCACGCCCCGGCCATCGGTGTTTAGTCGGTGAATAAAATCACCGTGGCAGCGCATCATCGATTTACCTACACGCAGTCTCTGAGGGCAGGCCCAGGAAGTCAACGGCGGCCAGAACAAACAGAACGATCAAGCTTGTGGTGGGTAAGAGTTTAACGCGTTTCTTGTCATTGAGCAAGCTCACTGTAGGAGCTTGTTGGGAATAAAATAGACGATGTTGATGATGGTGGGAGGAGGAGGAATCTCAAAGTGGAGCGGTGCGAGGGAAGAAGCAGGAATAGAAGTGAGGGGGGTGGTGGTTGCGTTTCATCCATCACAGTGTGGCGGATGTAACTCAACCGCTGTCAGTGTGAGAGGCAGACCGGGCCGTTGACGTTCTTCATAGCCAGGTGAGAAACCATCAAGCCAGCGTGGTGAGGTATGGACAAACAAACGCCGTGGTCGACGTGGCGTGGCAAGGCCTTCATCCAGCAGTGGATTGAGAAAAGGGCTGCACGTTTTTTTTTTAAAGAACCACTAAGGGAAGACTGTTGGTACAGTGGTCAAGCGCATTGCACTACAAACGTAGAATTCTGAGTTCGACCCCCAGCCACGGCTGCCATCAGTGCCGAGCAATAATCTCAACTGGTCCTGGGCCCCCACCCCTACACCAACCCACACTGACCGACGCGGCGAAGTGTGGCCAAGCAACTCCCAATGCCCGGGCGGTGGCGTGGTGAGGGCCTTCCTCCAGCATTGAATTGACAAGGGGGCTGTAAATAACATTTTTGCTCTTATTCTCAAGGTTCTAATCTCAGTCTACATACAATGTACGTACGTTGAACTTCTTTTGCATCGTACGTAGCCAGCCGTGCGAATCGGAGGTGCGGAAAGAAAGTTGGGCAAGCAACCCAAGCAGGATGTTCATCAATAAGGATCCTCATTCTAGATTTGAAGCTTTCGTGACGGCAAGGATTCATATTCTTAGGTTTTTTCGGTAAAGTCACGTAGGTAAAAAATAATAAGAATAAAATAAATGAAAATAACTAAATTAAATCACGACGTTTCGGAGGCAACACAAGTGTCCGTCTTCATCTTGATACAGTAAATTTGGCTTTGACGGTCCCACCTGAAGACGGAGACTTGTGTTGCCTTAAAAAAGGCCTTGATTTAATTTGTTATTTTCATTTATAATTATTTTATTATTATTATTTATTACCTACGTGACTTAAACGAAAAAAAAAACCTAAGAATAAGGATCCTGACAACTCAAGAAAGAGACTTCCTTGGATAAAAAAAAAATACTTTTTACAAATTTGTGTTGGATTACTCGCGAGCTTAACCTAACACCTGCGTGTGAAGGAGCCTCTGCGAAGTCCTCAACTTCTTTGCGACACGATGCGAAGAATTTCACGTTTTGGCGGGGCGGGATTTGTATTCGCCCCTGGGGTAACACGCTTGTTTAGATTTTTTAACGCCAAACTTCTCGGAACACTCTGCTCCGCATAATTCACCGGGGTACGAAGCCCACTCGCAACTCACACACGGTGCCATGAGCCCAATTGGTGCAACGGATTGTACGGAACAACAACAACACGCAAATGAAAAAGTTATGATGGCAGCGGTGTAAATTGCCCCGTACCAATTATCGCCGTTGTTACAATCTCAATCACCTTGAAACGGGGATGTTATTCTGTCGTCCAATTTGCGTATCGGTGGATCTTTTTTTGGTTGTTGTTGTTTTGGGTCTGGGCAAACACTCGTGTCCATGATTTGCAAGTTTCCTTATTGTCATCCACGCGGCTTTAATAGCTGCCGCGAAATCATAACTCTTATAAACGACGTTATATAACATTACAATGTTCTTTTAAAAAAGTGCGGAACTTTCGGGATGTGTAAAAAAAGAGGCACGAACGGTAAAGATAATAGCGGCGGGGTTAAAGGGAGGCTCAGGCCAATCATTTCACCGATCTAAACGCCACGTGTTCAGGAGCCGGTAGGGAAAAAGGGATACCGTTTTGGTGACATTAAACGGACATGTATTTACGCATGGAATTAAACACCCCGGTGCAACAACGGTGGGATGATTTTGATAAAGGACAAAATCAACTCACGTAGGCAATCAGTCATGGGGTTAGGGGGAGTCGGGGACATGGCCGAGCAGTGGTCGGCGCAGTGCGCAATGAAGCCGGTCACCTGAATTATATTCTTGGACAAGGTTAACATGATTTAAAGCTTTCGTGACTGCAGGGATTCTTCTTCTTGGTTCTTTCGGTAAAGTCACGTAGAAGGTAAATAATATATTATAATATCATATTATTTGTTTATTTTTATTATTTTATTATTTCCCTTCTACGTGACTTCACCGAAAGAACCAAGAAGAAGGTTAACATGGGCGGGCAAGTGATTTCTGAGCCGGTCCTGGCCCGATCACCCACCTTCGCCAACCCATGCTGACTAGCACGGTGAAGTCTGCTCAAACAACAACAACAATCGGAGGTACGGGAGAAAGCAACGAAATAAACACAAAAAAGCAGTTCTAAAGAAATTCGTTTTTAATTTAGATTTAAAAGTGCATAGCTCCAATGGCTTTATAATATCGGAAGGAAGAGCGTTCCAGACGGCCGCAGAAGCGCATCTGAAAGCGCGATGCGGTGACCGTCTTTGTTCGAACAGTGTGGGTAGGCCTTCATCCAGCAGTTGACTGACACAGGCTGTAAATGAGGATAATTATGAATAATGTAAAATGGCTCGCATGATAATTTTTTTTGTCAGGAATTGAACCAATGTACACACAAAAAACAATAAAACTTGAATCGAATTGTGGCTGTTTTATTATTATTTTCATTCGGAGAGGAAAAAAGAAACAAATCAAGTGCAATTTCTCATCTTGAAAGATAGAGCAATTGACTTTGGCAAGTATGGATCTTGATTTAATGAAGGAAACTTGAGCTGAGGGTTTCAATGGCATTCTCTCCGCCTGAAACGTATCTCGCTCCTTTGATCTCAGCGGGGTTTTCAATATTCAGTCGAAAACGCCCCGGGGCTCGCCGGGTGCCCAATTAAGTTGCCCAACGAGACCGAATAACCAGCACCGCAGACCCATTGAGCAGGGCCAACCGTGAATTAAAGAATATATAATAACATTCCAATCCCCTCTCTCCCCACCTTCCCCCCTCCCTCTCACCTCTACTCCCCTCCCTCCACCCCCCCTCCCTCTCACCTCCCCTCCCTCCACCTTCCCCCCCTCCCTCTCACCTCCCCTACCCTCCCTCCACCCCCCCCTCCACCCCCCCCTCCACCCCCCTCCCTCTCACCTCCCCTCCCTCCACCTTCCCCCCCTCCCTCTCACCTCCCCTACCCTCCCTCCACCCCCCCCTCCACCCCCCCTCCCTCTCACCTCCCCTCCCTCCACCTTCCCCCCCTCCCTCTCACCTCCCCTACCCTCCCTCCACCCCGCCCTCCACCCCCCCCTCCACCCCCCTCCCTCTCACCTCCCCTCCCCTCCCTCCACCTTCCCCCCCTCCCTCTCACCTCCCCTACCCTCCCTCCACCCCCCCTCCACCCCCCCTCCCTCTCACCTCCCCTCCCTCCACCTTCCCCCCCTCCCTCTCACCTCCCCTACCCTCCCTCCACCCTTCCCCCCCCCTCCCTCTCACCTCCCCTACCCTCCCTCCACCCCCCCCCTCCACCCCCCCTCCCTCTCACCTCCCCTCCCTCCACCTTCCCCCCTCCCTCTCACCTCCCTACCCTCCCTCCACCTTCCCCCCCCTCCCTCTCACCTCCCCTACCCTCCCTCCACCCCCCCCCTCCACCACCCCTCCCTCTCACCTCCCCTCCCTCCACCTTCCTTCCCCTCCCTCTCACCTCCCCTACCCTCCCTCCACCCTTCCCCCCTCCCACCTTTCCTCCCGACTCCCCTTTAAAGTCGCTACTCCCCCCCCCCCCATCGTGCCCTTATACCCGCGGTAATGTCACGAGCCAAGGACGCTGTCGTCAAATCCCTCATCTTGAGTGTGTAGACACATCGAGGCTGCATATTGCGGCGTATAGCCTGTAACAGACTTTTTTGGGTTAGATCGCGTAAATATATAAATACGTCGTTAAACCCGCCACCACTCGACTCAGAGATTGTAACTGTTGTGGCTTGGCTCTCCAACACACCGGTGTGCTGTACTAGTTATGAATTGGCATGTTCTGTTTACGTGACAAACCTTACTAATTGGCTGTGTCGGGAAGTGTGCGAGTTTATCGACACATTTATATTTACACGATGATCTAACGCAAAAAAAAACTTGTATTGTGGAAGATATTGGTCGCGAAATCTTTACCGAAAGAACCAAAGAGTATGGATCCCTGCAGTCACGAAAACTTCAACTCTAGATTGTAACATAGTGTTGGGGAAAGTTATTTTAAGCGAGCACCTATGAAGGCCGGCACGGCATGCGAGCGGGCGTGGGCCAACACCACTCCCGGCCACCTTTGCCTCCCCAGTGGCGATGTTTACACAGCACACCAGGTACTCGTTTGAGGCTGAGTCGACCTCGGGGAGGCCCAGGGCCGCCCTTAGATAATCATCACCGGTGTTACCCCGCGAGCAGGCATCGAACCCGGGTTGGCACGGGCTCGTAGCGCAACCACCACCACCTGCACCATGACCACTCCGACCGCAGTCACCTGTTTTTCGGGAGAGAGCCCCGACGCGGCCATGTAGGTGCTGCCGATGGTCTTGATCTTCTCGATGTCCTGGAACCTCTCCTCCCCGAGCAGCTGCAACAAACGGGCGGTGTCACCAACAAATCGCCATCACGTCGAAGGTTTGCACTTAACCGGCTGACAAAGGCTGCCGGCAGGGATGGGTGGTGGGGTGACGATTACCGCACCGCGTGTCTAATCCCAGTTGAGTAATTCTGCGGTGTAATTCTCAAATTTGGCAAAAGTCGGATCCGCGACATCGGCACGCGGCGGTGGCGGCCAACGCTTGCGAGCGACGCCACGGGGGGGTCTTTAACGTCCGTCGCGACGAACGCGGCGACTGCGACCCGCGACGGCGGAGTGGGACTTAACGGAGCTCGCCCCGTTGTTGTTTCACCTGCCAGGCGCGTGGGGAGGTCAAACCTGGTGACCTCGTTCGCCTGTGCGGCGGGAGTGGGCGGGCGATGAGCGTGTGGATGACGCAAGCTCGTGGTTGTTGCTGTCGTAATCACGAGCGGAACGTCACAGCACTCGATTTGTAAACGTCGTGGGTTTACTCTCCAACACACAGCCGGCGTGCTGAAGTTGTCACTAATCGGGCACGTTCTGTTTACGTGACGAGTCTTACTAATTGGCTGTGTCGACTGGTGGCGGGTTTAGCGGCACGTTTATATTTACGCGATCTAACCCCCCCCAAAAAAACCCTTTATTGTGGACAATATTGGTAGCGAAAGCCTGCTTGTGTTTAACTGACCACAGCCCAATCTGAAGCAATTTCTGCAAACGACGAGAAAGCCATGGGACAGAAGGGTGCCAGCAAGCTGCAAACGAGCCAGAGCTACGACCAGCTGTAAACACAAAGCGCGGTCTCCGAATGGGAACAAAAAAAGCCCCCCACCACCCCCGTCACGCCTCGAAAGTGTATCGCTCCTTGTCCATGGCCATCAGCCAGATGCCGAACAACAACAACAACATCAACCGGCGGTGGCCGTGTGGAGGTGCTTGTTGTTGCTGTTGTCAAAGCGTGCACGCACCTCGTCGAAGTCGGCGATGATCTCGTTGAGGAGGCGGAGGCACTCCACGCCCTGGTTGTTGCTCTCCGTCTGCGAGTAGAAGTCCGCGAACTCGGGGATGGAGGCGAACATGACGCCCACCTTCTCGTACTGCTGCGAGTAGAGCTCCTGGCGGAAGCAGAGACGGAGACGTGGTGTGACGTGGTGTGACGCGGTGTGACGTGGTGTGACGCGGTGTGACGTGGTGTGAAGTGACGTGATGTGACGTGGTGTGACGCGGTGTTACGCGGTGTGACGTGGTGTGACGTGGCGTGGGATGGCGCGTCGTCGTGGTATAGCGGTGGTTGTGTGGCACGAGGTCGTGTGGCTACTGGAACCCCGCTTAAAAAGTTTACGGAAGGCGACTGAGCCGATGGGGAAGATAGCCTCGCCCGTAGGACGGGCTGCACTCGAAAAGTTTATTCGGCCGTAAAATAATTTAAAAATCGGTAGGGTGTGCAAGCCTGTGTGCCGCAGGGCGATGACGCGCCGACCCACAGCCCCCCCCCCCCCGGATGGCGCGTCAAGGGCAGCTGCGTGGGACGTAGGCTGCCCACTCCACATTACGACCGCGGTGGAGCGGCGCGAGAGCCACGCACGGCCGCCACCTGCGGGCTTTGGAAGCGCAATTGTGCCGATGTCTCATCCTGCCCTGGCATGGGATGGGCAAGCTTTGCCGGCTGGATTGCAATCTATTCAAGTGCGGCAGCGGCAGCGGCAGTGTTCCACACAGTTGGCAACAAAGGCTTCGCTTCGTGGTGACGCGCAGTGCACAGGGCGGCTTCTTTTGGATTTAATGATGACCTTCATTCATTGCTGGTGATGACGACAACGACTCAGTGTTGAATCTAGCACTGCACGTCAGGGTAGTGCAGTGTGCAGCGTGTGGCGCTGCTCAGCTCCTGTGCGGGATCTGGATGGATCACCGTGGGAGATGCCTTCACCCAGCGGTGGATAGACCATAGCCAACGATGATGATGACGATGATGATGACGTTGATGATGAAGATGTAATATTAAGACGAACACTTCTGGGCGAGGAAAGTCAATGACATTCGACGGTTTGTTTTCTTTGCAGCAACCGCACGTCTTTTAACCTATTTTTAACCCATTTCTGAGAATGTTTTGATTTTCAATCACTGCTGCGGCTTTCATCGTTCACCAAGCGCTCCGAGACGCCGCGGGGCGAGGGCCGCTCCACCGAGAACGAAGCATCGCCGCGCACCGCTCTGTACGACGGTCGTGTCCTCGTCGCCCCGGTCGTTGGAGGGCAGCAGAGGAGGGCCGGTGGGCCCGCTCTCCGTTCGGCTCCTTGAGCGCGTGAGGCTGCTTTGTTGGGGACAGACGGCTGCCTGAGATAGCCACCACTAGCACCACCTCGACCCCCCTCCCCCAGCAACGGCTTCACAAGCACCCGCCACAAATGAATGGCGACACCCTCGCCAATCTCGTCAAGGAGGGTAAACCATCGCGCTAAACTCCCGTCTGTCCGTCGATCTGTGTATGTGTGTGTCTACCCATCAGATCCGTGTCTCTGTATGTCCATCTATCGGTCATCCCAGCCCTATAGAGCGAGCGAGCTCTCGTGGAGGAGGCCCTTCCCGCAGCAGTATCATGAGCAAAAAAAACACTTGCAGGGCTGCACCCTTACCTCCTATCCATCACTGGCAATTGCAAGCTGTGGACGTGCGAGCGAGTGATGAAGAAAGGGGGCTGTGTGAAGCGGGCAGCAACACAAAGTGTTTGCCACAACAGAACCGCAATGACTCGCTGGTCTCGTCAAGAAGCATAAACCATCACAACAATTCGGGCCATCGTAGCAGCAGCAGCGGCCTTTGGTTAGCCGTCGAACGAAGATGGTCACCACGTCGTGCGCTTTCAGCCGCGCGTTCCGCGGCCGTCGGGAACGCTCTTCCATTCTGTTATTCGGAAGCCACTGGAGCTATGCACTTTTAAATCTAGTTTGAAAACGCATTTATTTTTGTGTTTGGTTTCTCGTCCTTCCCTCGCACCTCTGATGAGCACGGTCGGCTATGTACGGCGCGAATGAAGTTCAACATACATACATCACTTGGTGGTGCGGTCCACGATGGCTCTTGGAGTGGCCCAGCGGCGAGATATATTGCTCCATATATCGAGATGCGTATTAGCGAGATGAAAGCCGTCGACAGGAGGTCGAGATTCGCGAGGTGACAGGATACGCGGCAGCTCGATTAGCGTGCCGCGTGCTTCTGGAAACCCACCCCTCTCGGGCAGCATTCGAAGGCCACTGCGGGTTGACGAGCCACGAGGGTCACTCACGTCGTTGTCGCGGTCCTTCTCCAGGAAGTACTGCGCCACGTGGTTGGGCAGGATGTTGCGCAGGAGGTTCTCGTTGTGCTCGCGCAGCTCCCGCATGTCGTCAACCTCCTGTCGCGCCTGCAGCCGCCACAAGAAGTCGAGGCGCGCCGTGTATTCCAGCTGCGTGGGGCGGGGGGGGGTGGGAAGGCGACGCACAGCACAAGCACGTGGGGCCTTCACTGCCTGCCACCGTGACAGACGCGCGATTGCCAGCGCCAACGTCGCCATCAATCTCGACATCAACGCCATCTCGACATCAACGCCACAACCCCGACACTGCCACCGTTACCACGACGTCGATGCTGTCACCCCAACACCACCACCACCACCCAAACACACAGCTCACCGAATGAGACTCACCCACCGAGACCCACCGCACAGCGCACCGATGCCAGTGACCAGATCTCTGTCAGTTGTTGGGCAAGATTGGCAGCAAAATACTTTGAAATTAAAAAAAGAGTCAGCATTCATTTGTAAGCGATTTTTCAGTGACAACGCGTACCGGAGCGGTGATCAGCGCGCCGCGTGGCGTGGGAACGCGCGAGCGTGCGAGTGACACACGCACGACGCGTCCGCGAGTTCGTGCGCGCAGGACAAATGCTCTCTTAATGGACTGGCTTGTAAGCTTGTGTCAGCTTCTCCCGCGGTGGGGGAAGACAACAACGCATGCCGCCAGTTCTTTTCCTCACGAACAAAACGCAACTTTACTTCGGGCGTAATGCGTGCGTCAACGACGCAAATGCCCGCAGATGCCCGATATGGCGCGTGACTCTTCTGCGGGGGCGGGACATGCACGGAGCACATAGACAAAGTACAATACAACAGTGTAGAACAAAAAAAAATAAGCAAGAGATAAAAAAAAAATGTTTCCTAACAAAAAAATATCTCGGGTCGGTGGCACGTTCATGGTTAATACTTATGCAGCGTAGGGTTAAACAACTTTTGACGAATCGTGCGCCCTATTGAACACACGTGTGCAGCGAGTGTGCGTACGCGCGAGCACACGTGCCCCATAGACCCAATGACAGCGGGAAGACGCACGCACTCGAAACCCACTGAACCGCAAACCCGGCGACCCAGAATTAAAAAAACCTTCGCTTGACCTTGCGGTTAAGCCAACATTTCCTCGCTTTTGTTAGAAATTCCTTGAATTTCTCGTCCGTGGCTTAAAAAAAAAACAAGAGGCAAAAAAGCAACGTTAAACCGAACCACACTCACACGCACGTACACACTGACTCACAAATGACAAAGATCCCCCGTGTAGCCTTAACAGACTTTTGGGGCAAGTGACGTTAGCGACTTCTCTTCTTATTTTGTATTGATTGATAAGAGTCAGATTAAATATGTAATTTTAGATGTGGTATCCACTCAATTGTTTGTTCAGAAGCAGAGTGGATCTGGTCAATTCAACCTTTAAAGGACTAGGGCATATGAGGGCCGGCTCGGCACAAACAAATACAAAAATCCCCGTATAGCCTTGAAGAGTAATTAGGGCAAGTGCTGTTAGCGAGTAGCACCTATGAAGGCCGGCACGACACACGAGGGGGTGGGTGGCCAACACCACACCCGGCCGCCTTTGTCTCCCCAACAGCGATGTTTGCACACCGCACCTGGTACTCATTTGAGGCTGAGTCGACCTAGGGGAAGCCAATGACCGGTTCAGATAATCGCCACTGGTGTTGGCCCTGAGCGGGAATCGAACTCGGGCCGCCGGGTTCGTAGCACTAACCGCCACACTACCGCTCGCCACTCGGCACACAGACACACGCACACGTGGACGCTATGCACAGCTGGAAATGAATGCACCAGCTGCCTCCTGTGTCCGTGCGTAGATTGAGGTGCATTACAATGGTGCTCCAAAGAGATATGTGGCTAGCTGCATTAAAGGACTTCAGAGGAAATGCAGTAAAAATTTCCCATCGAAATTAAATTTTAAACGAACGGGCACTTTTCACTGAAGATATTTTATTCAATCGGGCCACTGAGCATAACGCAGTAGGAAATACCAGAGAGCGTTCACATTCCAGCAAGCTCATCGTACGGGCGTGCAATTTGACGTGAGTATTGTCTGGAACTCCCTTTCCACAGCAGGCCATGCTGTGGACTCCCCTCTCCTGTTCAAGTCCAGGTCCACGACCTTCCTGATTTCCTCTGCCTATTTTCACTGAATACGGTGGCCCAAAAGTCAGGACACACGTGGTTATTACATTTATCTGGCTTCACCACCTGCATATGAAATTCTAGCTGTTGCGCTGCATTTACATCAGCCATGCACGAGAGAAGAAAATTATATTGATTTAAACACTGGCATACATTTTTTTATGTTTATTCTTTAAGTTAATATTTGATCTATTATCATTATTAATATATATATTTCTTCTTTTTCATTTTCATATGACATTCAAAAATGGAAATAAATGTTGACTGAGTTGAGATGGAACGTAATTGATGAATGTTCAAAGATCACACACCTGAAATCTTAGAAAAAGGCCGAAATTCATTTCTAAAGATAATTCAAGAATGCATCAATGGTAATGGAAGTCAGTTTGAACATTTGTTAAAAGGAAATAGTTCACCCTATTTGACTTGTTAAAATAAATATAATAACCCTGTGTCCTGAATTTTGGGACACCCTATATCTATAAAAAAACGTACCCAACTATTTCTGTAACCTCTTCTTGGTTCTTTCGGTAAAGTCACGTAGAAGGGAAGTAATAAAATAATAAAAATAAAACATAATAAAATAATTCTCACGACGTTTCGGCCACAACGCAAGCAGCCGTCCTCAGGTGAAGAACAGGTCTGTCAGAAATACATTTCTGTAACGTTAACATGCTGCAGTAATAATAATAATAATCGGCAAATACTAATTTTACAATCCCTTTGATTACGCCTGCCCACGCAGTGTCGGCCACGGAGGGGTCGTCTGTTTGACCATACTTCACCACGCTGGTCGGTGCCGGCCGGCGAGGTGGTTTCGAGGGGGACGAGCGGCTTCGGACGTCACTCGACGTCAGCCGTGGCTGTTAATCGAACGCAGGTCGCCGGGTTCACAGTGCCGAGCGTGAATGTAGCTTGTTGGGTGCGATCGCCACCCGCTTCACTGTTCTATATATACATACCCCTCTCTCCCAATTGCACTGCAATTGCATCATAATCAATTTAGATCAAACAATCCCATCAACACGTAGAAGGCACCAAAGCCGTAGGAGACTTTTGGGGCAAGTGCTGTTCGCGAATAGCACCTATGAAGGCCGGCACGGCACACGAGGGGGTGGGTTACCAGCACCACGCCTGGCCGCCTTTGTCTCCCCAGTGGCGAAGATTTACGCACCGTACTAAGTACTCATTTGAGGCCGAGTCGACCTAGGGGAGGTGCAGAAGCGGTCCAGGTAATCGTCACCGGTGTGTTGGCCGCGAACGGCAATCCAACTTGGGTCGCCGTGTTCGTAGCGCAGCGCGCCCACCGCTCAAAGCGTACACGCGCGCACTCACGCACACGCAGCCGGAACGTGCGCTACATGCACGCGGCCACGTGCGTCTCCCCCGCCACGTGTAGGCCTGCAACACGCGTCACCCGACGCCACCACCACTCTCGCTTGCTCACTGCGGCATCGCATCGCCTTGCCTTGTGCCGTAACGTTATTTATTACTCACGCGGTAGCAGCGGCGGCAGCAGCAGCACATTTCCTCCCACTCACACGTCCATGTTGATACCGCTACACCCCGCACTCCGCGTTGCGTTATCTGTCCCTGCGACATCACCCTGGGGCGTGCGCGCCCTGCCACTCAGCGGGGACATGCCTCTCATCCGCCACGCGCGCACGCAACGCAAACAAAGTCAAAGATTCCCTGTTGGCGAGCACCTGTGAAGGCCGACATGGCACACAAGGGGTAGGTGAGTGGCCAACATCACGCCCGGCTACCTTTGTCTCCACAGTGGCGACGTGTACACGACGCACCAGGTAGTCATTTGAGGCTGAATCGACCTAAGGGAGGCTGCGGAGCGGTTCAGATACTAATCGTCACTGGTGCGTCGTTGTGAGCGGGAATTGAATTGGTTCATAGCCGAGCATGCTGACGACTTCGCTGTGGATCATTATTCATTATCCTAAGCATGTGTAGTGACAGGGTGACACCTGTTGGCCTGCAGTGGTAATTGCGGTCATGGCTGCATTACGCAATGCTTTATTATAAGGGGAGTGTATCTGGGGTGAAGGTGAAAGGCGGAGTCAGTCGAGAAGCTCCGGGAACCGGCTAGAAGGTTCTGGAAGGGGGTGTGGCCAGAGGTGGAGCTTGCCCGTGCCGGGGCGGATATCAGGAGGACCGAACCAGAAGTTCGGTGCTGTTTGGAGTCCTGGGTCCTGGCTGCGTCGCTGCGCGGCTGATCTGCTGCAAGGCCCTCTCTGCCGCGGTCGCTACGCTAAACGGACAGCTGCGTAGTTGTATGCCGGCGATGGTGCCGTGAGTGTTAGGATCGCCTGTGCGTAGCTGCGTTACACAATGCGTCGCCCAGTGTGTTCTTAATAAACAAGAAGCCTTCTACTCGACGTGTCCCGCAAGCCGCTCACTACACGTGCAACCAGGGCACGCATGCACATTCACGTGCACGGTGCATGCTGCAGTGAGCTGCTCCAGCAGGGACAGCTGTCGCAAACTATTTGACGAGTACCTACTACCAAAGTGTGGCATCAGTAAGAAATTTATATCCCGTCAACATCATCGTCATCGTCATCATCATTGTCAACATTGTCAGACGTCTTCGGACGTGTTTGCGGGTTGTACCGCGCACTGCTGTTTGACGCGATGTCCGACGTTTCGATCTCAGCTCGTGGAGAAGCTTCCAGATAACACCGCGCCACAATGCGACACGACGTGGGAGAGCAATACCGCAGCGCACGCCGCTAAAAACCCCACACAGCTGATGCATCCCCTTTTCCGTGCGTTAGCGACGACGGAGCAGAATGAATTTCCACCACGGTTATCTTTTTTTAGTCAGCGTCACGGCTTCGTTAAATCTCAAATCCCTATCCTCTACTCCGTCTCTTACCGCCGCTGCGTTGCAGATGAACAAACTCGACCACGAAGCGAGCCGGATCGGAAACAAATCTGCCAAAGGTTGCAACGGAGTGTGCCTGTTATTTGTCTTTATTTATTTATTGAGAACCCCATTTGTTTTCTTTACCAAGTAAGGACCACTGAGATATTTTTCTCTTTTTCAGACGAGACCTGGCCACATATGAAAGATCAAAAAAGTGGATTATCACGTGGAAATTGATAGGAAGCCAGATAATCTCAAAGGATGTTTCTATACGTGGAGGGAAAAACCGGACGACCTGCAGAAAATCCCACACGACCACGGAGAGAGTGAGAGAGAGAGAGACACGCAAACTCCAAACATACAGGCGTCACGATGCGATTGCAGCTGAGATGACAAAACTGACACTCGCTCTGTGCAGGTGTGAGTGTGCGGACAGAGCCACTGGTACAGAAAAACAAACACAGCGCTGATGACTCGACTCGTGACCTGTAATTGCTCGGTTTGGCCCAGACACGCGCGGGACTACTTGTACAAACAAAATCCACGGCTACTCTGGGCTACCATTCTCACGCAACCGTAGCAAAGTGAATTTTGGTCAAATATAGATGCTTCTGGGTACAGGTCAGCGATGAACGTATGAATGCGACCCTTTCTCATCACATCACAGCAAGGCTGAGCCTGGATAGTGTTTTTTTCGGCTGCCGCGGGGTACTGAGATCCAACGTACACATGCACACACTACGCACGCACAGGCACACACAGACAGACAAAGATCCCCCGTATAACCTTTAACAGTCTGTCGGGGCAATTGCTTCTAGATTTGAAGCTTTCGTGACTGCAAGGATTCATATTCTTAGGTTTTTTCGGTAAAGTCACGTAGGTAAAAAAATTCAAATTAATAAAAGTAAAATAAAAATTAAATAAAAATCACGACGTTTCGGAGGCAACACAAGCTTCCGTCTTCAGGTGGAACCGTCACAGCAAAATTACTGTATTGCCTCCGAAACGTCGTGATTTTTATTTTATTTTACTTTTATTAATTTGAATTGTTTTACCTACGTGACTTTACCGAAAAAAACTAAGAATAGGGGCAATTGCTGTTCGTGAGCTGGCACGGCACACATGGGGTCGGTGGCCAGCAATATGCCTTTCCGCCTGTGTCTGACCGCCAGTCTCTCTTTCTTGCTGCTACTGCTGGTGAAGCCACTGCAGGGCCCAGAACTTGAGAGTATTTAACACAACACGTTCAATGTGTGGCAAGTCCTCGCGTAATGCGTGGCGTTCACACTGCAACGCGTTTTCACTACAATGCGGCTCTTCCATTAGAGAACACTTTTCACACAACGCGTGCCATTTTAAAGTGGAACGTGCCCCGCAGTGCTACGTCTTGCACAGTGCTACGTCATGAACAGCAGTACGTCTTGCACAGCGGTACATCTTGCGTCTCGCCAAAACTTTCTCGCTATTACATTATTTATGGGGGGGGCATTGTTTTTTTGCTACAACGGGGCCAGTTTTTAGGAACGCATGCGATTGGCACGGTCAAAATTGTTCATTTCCGTTGTTTGCCTTTTGGGTTGGGTCACCTTTTAACAGGTGCTCACTGCGAACACCTGTCCCAATGTTTGCATGTGTCTTTGCACAGGCAGGCGCTGGTGAAATGTGTGTGTGTGTGTGTGCATATGTCAGTCAGATCGGTTGGTCAGCTGATAACGCCCAAAGTCTGTCACGGGAACTTCCTCCCAATGAACCTTGGACACCTAAAATTGTCTCCAAAGTGTACCTAGCCTGGCATGGGCTCCATAGTGACGACACAGCCGCCTCGTGGCAACGTTGGTTGGTGTGCGTGCGTGTGTGCGTGTATGCGTTCGTGCGTGCGTTCGTGCGTGTGTGCGTGTGTGCGTGCGTTCGTGCGTTCGTGCGTGTGTGCGTGTGTGCGTGTGTGTGTGCGTGTGTGTGTGCGTGTGTGCGTGCGTGCGTTCGTGTGTGCGTGTGTGCGTGTGTGTGTGCGTGTGTGCGTGTGTGTGTGCGTGTGTGCGTGTGTGCGTTCGTGCGTGCGTGTGTGTGCATGTGTGTGTGCGTGTGCGTGTGTGTGTGCGTGTGTGCATGCGTGTGTGCGTGCGTGTGTGTGTGCGTGCGTGTGTGCGTGTGTGCGTGCGTGTGTGCGTGTGTGCGTGCGTGTGTGCGTGTGTGCGTGTGTGCGTGTGTGCATGCGTGTCTTTGTCACCGGCGCAGTGATTTGCGCACTGCCCGTTGAACCTGGCGACCTGAGTTCGAGTCTCACATTAGTAAATGGCATCTGAACCTCTTTTGGGGCTCCCCTAGGTGGACTCAGCCTCAAGAATGTACCTGGTGCGTTGTGTAAACAGCACCGATGGGGAGACAAAGGCGGCCGGGCGAGGTGCTGGCCACATCACTCCCTCGTGTGCCTTGTTGCCCTTCACAGGTGCCCGCTAACAACACTTGCCTCAAGTGTCTGTAAAAGGCTATAGGGGGATCATTGTCTTTGTATATACGACTACACACCATGGATACTGCACGTGGGAAACGAAAAGGGAACAGGGAATGAAAGAAGGAGCGACAGGGCCGGAAGGGCAGGAGGGGGAGAAGGAATGACGGGCCAAGATGTCAGGAAAGAGTGGGTGATGATGATGATGAGAGGGTGATGATGATGAGAGGGTAATAATGATGATGATGTGAGATTGGTGATGGTGATGTTACGTCTCAATGGGATAGAGCGTGTCCCCCTCGCACACGCGGACTTTTTTTCTTTCTTTCACGTGCTCCCGTTTTCTCCCGCATGCAAACGCGCATTGATTGGCCGATAACACTTTAATACACGTAGGACAGCAGAGCTTGGACAACTGTTGGTGCAAAAGAAGTCCAACATACATACAAAGGCCACTTCTCTGCGTGTCTGTGGTTCCGGCTCGCGCCTCTCACGCCTCCCGCTCTCTACGTGAGCGAGCGGATACGGTGCCGTGCGCGGCGGTGCAGCTTTAAGGGGAGCCGCGGTGGCGAGATGTTCACTACCTCGACAGGTATAAAGGAGGTCGTGGGTTCGATCTCGACCCAGACGCCTGCATATTTCGAGTTTGCATGTTCTCCCCGTGGTCGTGTGGATTTTTCTCCGGGCATTCTGTTTTTTCCCCTCGGCTTTCAGAATCAACATCACGCGTTGCGAGTGATTGGCTGCTATAAATGTCCACGTGACAAGCCACTTCGTCGAGTTATAATTTGTGGCCGTGTCGCTTCTGAAAAAAAAGCTGTACAGCTGAGCGGGCAATTACCTGGTCAAGTAAAAAGTAGTCCCGTTCACAGTTTGAGTTTGCGAGTTGAAAGTATTACTTGGACACAGAGAGACGCGTCCGTGCGGGTCGTCGGTGGCAGCGGGGGTGATTGACGCACCTGCCGTCCGTGGTAGAAGACCGCCACCACGAACATGGTCATCAGCGCCACGCAGATCTCCCTCCGGCCCGGGTGCTCTGTACTGCGATGGCCAACGAGGACGAGACGACGCGGTTCGGATCGCAGGGGAGGGAGGAGAATCCACACGTGAGGAGGCAGCACGTGCACACGTAGTTGCGGTGTGGAGATGGAGCGATGAAATGGGCCCCACGTGCGGATGCTAGATGGATTGATGCATCCCATCACATGACCGTGAGAGATGGTGATATTATGTTTTATTTTTATTTTTTATTATTTCCATTCTACGTGACTTTACTGAAAGAACCAAGAAGAAGATGGTGATAGCTTGAGGCCTTCGACTAGCAGTGGATAGACCATGGCTGATGATGATGATGATGCGTATACACGCATGCGTGTGTGTGCGTGCGTGTTCGTGCGATAATTCACAGCCGAGAGGACGTCTAACAGGGAAGATGGAGCGATTGAATGCTCGTGTGCAGGTGCTGGACACCTGGTACGTTGGGTAAACATCAGCACCGGGAAGGCATAGCCGACCGGGCGTGGTGCCACCCATGCAGCCCCGTTGGATGCCGTGCAGTGCCGGCCTTCATCGGTGCTACAGGTGGATTGCTTTGACGTCTGCCGGCCGAGTCGCCCGCTGGCCCGACGTCGGCTGAACTTTGGGCCAACGTTCCATGTGCACTGGGTTAGAGTGGCGGCCTTCATGCGCACAGCGGGTTGATCGTGGCCGACGGTGACGATGACGACGATGGTGACAATGATCACGATGTTGTGTCTGCGTGTGCGCGGTCAACCGAGGCAAAGTCTGCGAGTCATCGGGAGGGAGGCTCGGGGCAGTGAGGTTGTCGCAGGCCACTCCCCGGTACATACGGCGCCACGGTGGCTAGGAGATGTTGACTACCTCGCCTGGTACACAGGAGGTCGTGGGTTCGATTCTGACCCTGACGCCTGTTGTATATTTGGAGTTTGCATGTCTCTCTCTCATCATCACGGTGGCTAGGATATGTTAACTCCCTCGCCTGGTACACAGGAGGTCGTGGGTTCGATCCCGACCCTGACGCCTGCTGCTGTATATTTGGAGTTTGCGTGTCTCTCTCTCTCTCTCATCATCATCACGGTGGCTAGGAGATGTTAACTCCCTCGTATGGTACACAGGAGGTCGTGGGTTCGATCCCGACCCTGACGCCTGCTGCTGTATATTTGGAGTTTGCGTGTCTCTCTCTCATCATCACGGTGGCTAGGAGATGTTGACTACCTCGCCTGGTACACAGGAGGTCGTGGGTTCGATCCCGACCCTGACGCCTCCTGCTGTATATTTGGAGTTTGTGTGTCTCTCTCATCATCATCACGGTGGCTAGGAGATGTTAACTCCCTCGCCTGGTACACAGGAGGTCGTGGGTTCGATCCCGACCCTGACGCCTGCTGCTGTATATTTGGAGTTTGCGTGTCTCTCTCTCTCATCATCATCACGGTGGCTAGGAGATGTTGACTACCTCGCCTGGTACACAGGAGGTCGTGGGTTCGATCCCGACCCTGACGCCTCCTGCTGTATATTTGGAGTTTGCGTGTCTCTCTCTCTCATCATCATCACGGTGGCTAGGAGATGTTAACTCCCTCGCCTGGTACACAGGAGGTCGTGGGTTCGATCCCGACCCTGACGCCTCCTGCTGTATATTTGGAGTTTGCGTGTCTCTCTCTCTCTCTCATCATCATCACGGTGGCTAGGAGATGTTAACTCCCTCGCCTGGTACACAGGAGGTCGTGGGTTCGATCCCGACCCTGACGCCTCCTGCTGTATATTTGGAGTTTGCGTGCCTCTCTCTCTCATCATCATCACGGTGGCTAGGAGATGTTGACTACCTCGCCTGGTACACAGGAGGTCGTGGGTTCGATCCCGACCCTGATGCCTGCTGCTGTATATTTGGAGTTTGCGTGTCTCTCTCTCTCTCATCATCATCACGGTGGCTAGGAGATGTTAACTCCCTCGCCTGGTACACAGGAGGTCGTGGGTTCGATCCCGACCCTGATGCCTGCGGCTGTATATTTGGAGTTTGCGTGTCTCTCTCTCTCTCATCATCATCACGGTGGCTAGGAGATGTTAACTCCCTCGCTTGGTACACAGGAGGTCGTGGGTTCGATCCCGACCCTGATGCCTGCTGCTGTATATTTGGAGTTTGCGTGTCTCTCTCTCTCTCCCCGTGGTCTCGTGGATTTTTCTCTGGCTCCTCCGGTTTTTGCCACCACGTTGAGCACCAACGCGCGTTCACAGCCACGTGGCTGCCATGAATTCCCACGGGCCGACAAGAAGCCGCTTCCTTGAGCGATCATTTGTGGCGGCCAGATCGCGTCTGAGAAAGAGACCTGCATATCGCTCAGTGGGCCCTTACGTGGGGGGAGGTGGGGAATTATTGTTTACTTTGCCGCATACATACGTGCGGCGAGCCCAGCATACATAGGGGCCGTCCATAAATGACGTCACGCGATTTTGGGCGATTTTTGACCCCCCCCCCTCGTCACACGGCGTCACAAAAAGTCAGCCCCCCCCCCTCAAATATGACGTCACAAAGCTCTGCCCCCCCGCCGATAAAACATGCTTCAAATCGCTGTCGTGCGTATTTAATGCACTCTGATGTTGTAGGAGAAAACATTTGTAAAAAAGTCCATTTACTTAAGTAGAACGTGTTGTCTATATGTATTTAAAGTTGCGCATTTTGATGCGACGTCACATTTCTCAACCCCCCCCCCGCCTCTCTCACCTCGTCACACATCGTCACAAATGTCTGACCCCCCACCCCCCCGCCCCCCCTAGGTGCGTGACGTCATTTATGGACGGCCCCATACGTGCGGCGAGCCCAGCATACATACTCGTCCACGTGTCCGAGGCCCGGCCGGCCCGAGGCGGCGGCGGCGGCGGCGGCGGTGGCGACGAACAGCGCGCCGTGGCTGATCTGGATGAGGGCCGCGTAGAGGGCGAGCGCACCGAGCAGCACCGCCAGCTTCAGCACCGAGTTGAAGCGCAGGAACACGGCACAGGTCACCATCGCCATGGCGCCCGTGAACACAAAGTACTGCGCGGCCGGAGACACGGGAAGGGATGGTGGTGCGGTGAGTGCGGTGAGTGCAGTGAGTGCGGTGAGTGCAGTGAGTGCGGTGAGTGCGCGCGTGCGTGTAGGGAGCTGTAGTGTCACGGGCAAGCGCGATGCGCTATGAACCCGGCAACCCGCTCACGGCCAACACCAGTGATGATTATTTGAACCGGTCCTGGGCCTCACCTAGGTCCAGTAACTGTCTAAAATCATCGCCACTGAAGAGACAAAGGCGGCCGGGCGTGGTGCTGGCCACCCATCCCCTCGTGTGCCGTGCCGGCCTTCATAGGTGCTCGCTAACAGCACTTGCCCCAATAATCTGTTAAGGCTACATTGGGGATCTTTGGCTTTGCGCGTTAGCGTACGCGTCCACGTGGATGTAGGTGAGCTGGTCCGATTTGCTGTACTGCCCACGCGTCACATCGTACTGCAAGGCTGGAAGAACGCGACCGTCGTTGCGTGATGCCCAGATCGGGCAAAACTATCGCACGATGGCCGAGAGGCGAAAATCGCCACCGGGTTTCCCCGCCCGGCAGGGAACCGTCGACCGGACGTCACTCGTTCATTCCGAGGACACCTCGAACGCCACCCGAATCTGGTGCCACTCGCCGACCCGCGCGTGACCTCTCTGCAGGCCCGACTCACCGCGTGACTCCGCGTTTTTGCCGTACCTCCGGGAAAAAGCAGATGTTGTGCGCGGTGGAATTGACTTCGGTCCGATTAAAGGAGTTCTGATTTTCAGCAGTTTGGCACCAGAACTGTTAAAACACGCACCACACACACACCACACACACGCACCACACACCACACGCACGCGCACCACGCACACGCACCACACACGCGCGCACGTCAAAACGTATCGATGACAATGCTGCCGCTGCCGCTGCTGGCCATTCCGACGACAAAGGCGACGACGAGGATGACGACAAGAGCAACGGTTGCGCCGTAAACGACGACTGTTGCATCAACAACAAACAACGACAACAAACAACAACGACAGCAGACGTACGATGTTGCTGAGCGCGGCGGAGAAGTTGAAGGCGATGGCGGCGCCGGCGAGGAGGTTGCGGGCGAGGTGCGTCTCGTGCACGCGGCAGCACAGGCGGCGCAGTTCGGCGGGCAGACACTTGTACTCCTCGGCCATTGCCACGCAGAGCAGCGCCGCGTACAGCGCCGTGAGCAGCGACGCGATCACCGACATAGGCACCACCCTGTCGCGACGGACGCGCACACGCACGCGCGCACGCACGCGCACACGCACGCGCACCTCAGATCAGCACGGATGGCTACGTGCGGTGCGAAATACGTTCAACGTACTTACAGAGAAAATAAGTGCAACATGCATACGAAAAAATACCGCTCCCCCCCCCCCCTATAAAAACAAAGACAAAGATCCTCCGTATAGCCTTAACAGACTGTTGGGGCAAGTGCTGTTAGCGAGGAGCACCTATTAGGTCGTGGGTTTGATCTCGGCCCTGACGCCTGCTGTGTATTTGGTGTTTGCGTGTCTCTCCCCGTGGTCGCGTGGATTTTTCTCCGGGTCCTCCGTTTAATTTCCCTCCACATTCAGAATCAACAACACGCGTTTAGAGTAGTTGGCTGCTATAAATGTCCACATGACGATAAGCCACTTCGTTGAGCTATCATTTGTGGCCAGGTCGCTGCTGAAAACGAGCTATATAGTAGCTCAGTGAGCCTTACCTGGTAAAACAAAAACAGTTTTAGTTTATCGTTCCGCTTCTTCCCTCGCACTGCTCGACTTTGTAATCCTCCCCTCCCTCCCCATCATCGCTTTGGCCAAGTTTTAATAACCATCGCTCAATTCAACAAATGCATCAACTCTTCTATCTTACAACATGGACCGCGTGCTGTTTGTTTTCCGGCCGTTTCACAATGTTGGCCCTTTGTGGCCCTGTGCTCGGCAACTGTGGAAACAATGAATACCAGGAGGTGATCGCGGGCGTGCGTGATGCAGGCTGCACTTTGACAGTGCCAAAGAGAGCGATAGAGAGGGGCCATCGTTAATTGGAGACGATAGCAGGACAGCGAACACGAAACTTCGAGTTCAGAAGGTGAGGAAATGCACGTGTAGATTTATGGGTCACAGATTCGAGGGATAAACGTGATGATACGGCTGTCATGTAATCACGGTGACTTGGATAGAAATAAAACAGTAAAGAGAGAAAAAGACATAAAAAATAATTGAAAGCTCGATGCATACGAGGATACGATAAGGGAAATGGAATACCGAACAAAATGCAGGATACAAACCACACGGCGAAACCAGTAGGGCAAGACAGAGGGTGGACACGGGTCACCAGAGTGCACAGGCATTGTCGCCCTGCAGGCAGTTCCAACGGAGAGCAAGCAGAGCGATCCCCGGACTCAAATAGAACCCAGAGAGAGCGAGAGAGGCGGAGACACTGAGTCCCTTTGGCCCCGAGCAGAGAAGAAGACTCCACGGGGTGACCTAATCGTGGAGGCCCTTTTTGCCGGCAGTGGCATTAAGTGTGAAAATCTCAGGGGCTGCGACTTTACCTGCGATTTAGTGGACGCCAGTGCGACCGTGTTTTCTGCTGGAACTGAAGCAATGATCGACACACGAGACGGTGTTCTCGCACAGCATAACGCGCGTAACCATTGATGCGGGTGCAGGCGAATGTTTCTCATGCGCGCACGCCCGCCCACCCACCCGCCGGCCCGACGTTGACATCGGGAGAAAGATGGGAAGATGATTAATTGTCGGCCTCATTGATGGCACGCGGCACCCATTATTCCGTGTCGTGTGGGCGTCACTCGCCCGGATGAGCGAGCGAGAGAGCGAGCGAGCGCTCTCACGAACAAATACCAACCCCAGCCGTGGTGTTTTTAATCGCCGTACAGATTGGTTGGCAGTTTTTTTTAAATCTACATCGGCGATTCTTTTGCAATGATTCTGCAGAAATTTGGGGGGGGAGGGTTGGGGGGGTGTCATCATGAGTAGAGAAGTTATATTTTTACATTTACCTATTTTCAATGTGCATTTATGTCATTCCTTCACATAAAGTCCCGGTCACAAAAGCAAGGTTTGTGGGGAATAATAGCCATTTTCTATACTTTTTAGGCATAATCAATAAAAAAAACACTTGGTACCCAGGAACAAAAATTGTGTTACATCGTCTTATTTATTTAGCCCGTTCGGGGCACGGCAGCCTCAGATGTGCATTGCACCGTTCGTTCGCTCAGTCATTAATTTCCTCTATTGCACCCAGATGAGAGCCCTTTTGAGACTACGAGTCTCTTTCAAAGGAGACTCGGGTTACAGGGCAATGCATCTAGGCCAATTTGGTGAAGATGTTTTTGTGTGTCCAGGTGTAGAGTGACCATCCAAACTACCCAGCCGTCCGTACTGTCGGCTCCCTGCTCCTGCTCAAGCCCCGGTTAAAGACCGCTCCTCTTCTCCTCTGCCTATTTTCTTCCATCACGGTCGATGAGCACAGGCAACAAAGCCACAAAACTCCAAACGGCCAGCGACAAACAGCACGATCCTCCCAGCGAACCGAATTCTTCGAACTGTTTGTTGTTGTGTGTAGTCAGTATATTGTCCTTCTCCTACACCTCCCGATTAGCACGGTTGGCTACGTACGGTGTGAAAGGAATTCAACATACGACCATCCAGACGCGTCATTCACAAAATAGCTTGAGAGCGTAAGCCAAACGCAGCCTTGAACGTCGGTGAAATATCAGCACCGAGCAAAAACTCGGGATGCTGACTGAGGCCGTAACGAGGATTACGAGCATCAGCGCTCAAAATTTCCAAAGCCGTGACTCCAGGTTTATCGCAAGAGACCGACTGAGAGGCGAGTGACGTTATCTGCTGAAGGGGTTGCCAGGATGTTCCTGGAACATTCACCGAATGGACGTGATAAACCGGCGAATCTGAGAGAAGATCTTTCCTCCAACCCCCGCAGCATGAGGAGGCCTGACAACGTACAAACACTGATTTCGGATTCGCTTAATATAAAATGTAGATTTTTGTACTCGTTATTTTTTTTATTTTAAAGCCACTAATTTGCGTAAAGTCATTCTCCTTCTTATTCGTATTTTTAGCCACTCCCTCAATCGCGGTTATCGACAGCGGGGCGAGAAATGTACGCGGGGGGGGGTCAAACAAATTTCACGACAACAACAAAAAATGGGCGCCCTGCCACGTGTCAAAGTTTGGGAGATGAAAAGGAGAAATGATGGTCGCTCGTTTCCCGCAACGTCCAACGCAGGACAACTCTAACATCAGAGAAGCCAGTGGGGAGGGTGAGGAGGGGGGGGGGGGTGCACAAGCATGGGCTTCGTTGTTTCTCCTGCTGCACATTTCCCAAAGAACTGTCACAGGTTTCACGCAATAAATACTTCAAGCATTAAAAAAATATATAGTTTAACTTCTTTGAATAAATGAAAAACATTTCAGAAATTCTCAACACCGCAGCGGGACGAAGGTCTCCGCATGCTGCGTCGTGTGTTGTTTATCTAATTATTTATGTATTATTAACTAAGCACACTTCACCACGCTGGTCGTTGTGGGTTGGTTAAAGCAAGAAGGGCAGCGTCGATTTCTGATGTCACTTCCCCGCTGATGTTCGCCTTGGTGGGGAATCGAACTCGGGTCGAGGAGTTGGTTGGGCTGTGAGCTAACCGCTGCCACAGCGCTCCACCCGATACTTCTTAACACCCAGCCATTTTTTTTTCAATGATAATAAAGTTAAAGAGGCAATTGACATATTTGTTAAGTTACTGAATTCATTAGGAGGTGAACTCAATTGGCCTCGATGCCTTCCAGATCAACGCTCACGGTCTGGGAGGCCAAGAGGTGGCCAGGGTGGTGGCTGAGAGGTCAGGGACACTGGGCTGGCAAACCGCTCAGACGAACTGCGTGAGTGGCGTCGTGAAAATAACAAACGATGACCGTAATCAAGAGGTGTTGGGCTCAACACTGGGTTTCAGCCACATGTGGTTGAACCAGCGGCTCAGACGGAGTTTGCGACATCACCTTAAACCGGTTTCTTGAACGTAATTGAGATTATTTTAAGTCTCTATTGTTTGGAGAGAAACCCCAGAGGACCCGGAGAAAAACCCACGCGACCACGGGGAGAGAGAACACGCAAACTGCAAATATACAGCAGGCGTCAGGGGTCGGTGTCGAACCCACGAACCTCCTGCATACCAGGCGAGGTAGTTAACATCTCACCACCGCTGTGATCGGCCGCGTCCTTACGTAAGGGGTAGCTGTGGGGCCGGTATGGCGCGCACGGAGGAGGGATGACGCAGTCATCACGTGCAGATGTATAGCAGCCAAATACTCGAAGCTCATGTTGATTCTAAATGTGGAGGGAAAAACCGGAGGACATGGAGAAAACCCCACGCGGCCACGGGGAGAGACAGAGAGAACACGCAAACTCCAAAGATACCACAGGGGTCGGTGTCGAACCCACGATCCTCCTGCGTAGCAGGCGAGGGAGATAACATCCGGCCACCGCTACGATCGGGCAGCCGTGGGGTCGGCGTGGCGAGCGCGGAGGAGAGACTCACGCGGGAGGAGGGATGACGCAGTTGACGCTCACGATGAACACGTGGATGACGAAGGCGCACACCAGGTTGGACTTGAAGACGTCGTCACGCATCTGGGAGTACTGCACAGGTGGCGAGAGCGGGGGGGGGGGGGGCGAAGCCAGAGTGTTACACAATTTGAATACTCTGTACAGTAGAATATTCCATACGTGGAACGGTTCAGCTCCCACCGGAGCATGAAGTAAATTTCAGCACGATCCTCCATCGCGATTCGATTCAACACAGAACGTTCGGTTCGCGAAATTTTCGCGTCGACCCATTTGACAGATGATTGTGGGCACGTTTCGATGAGCGAAATCGAATTTCCTAGTGAAATAAATTTGAGGCCATCAAACAAGAAGCCACCCAACATCACATTTGCAGTCATTCCAACTTGCAGATCTTTTGCTGACCTCCCTGAAAACGTGATTCATTTTTGGTTTCAACGATTTATGATTCAATCGTTTTGCTATGCACGTGCTTTGTTTATTTTTCTTTTTGTGTCGTGAAACGTGATATAGGTGTATATTTTAAGGTGAGGAGTAGAGTTGGAATGATTGTCCGAAATACATTACCAATTTTTTTGATAAAATTAATGGGAAAAGCCACTCCAATTTAGGAAGCGCCATTTATTGGCACGTTTTTTGAGGAGCGCATCCCTTTGCGTAAACCGAGGGATGCCTGTGCTCGCTTATGGTGACAGGCAGCGCCTCTAGTGACTGCAAAGATGAAGCTGAACGCGCTGACAGCCATCCCCTAAGGATAAAAAAGCGACCCAATAGATGTCATCCATCGGGATTGGCTCTTTGCTCTCAGACACTCTTCAAGCATGGCACGACTAAACTAAACGATTTTCTTTACTTTACCAGGTAATCATCTTCTTGGTTCTTTCGGTAAAGTCACGTAGAAGGCAAACAATAAAATAATAAAAATAAAACATAATAAAATAATTCTCACGACGTTTCGGCCACAACGCAAGCAGCCGTCCTCAGATGAAGAACAGGTCTGTCAGGAAGACAGACCGAAAGAACCAAGAAGATGAATCCCTGTAAGTCACGAAAGCTTAAAATCGAAATTTACCAGGTAAGGCCCACTGATGCCCTCTTAGCTACCTGGGGCATTCTTTTCACAGCTGGGGAAAAAGAAGAACAACAAAGAAGCACCTCCCCCCCCCCGACATTCCCTCGACCCTTAATATTCACTCAGTATGTTAGGAGAAACTAAGAGCTATTTATTTATTTTATCAGATAAGGCCCACTGAGCTATGTAGCTCTTTTTCAGAAGCAACCTGGATATCACAAATGATAGCTCAACGAAGCGGCTTATCACGTGCAAATTTACAGCAGCCAAACACTTCAACTAAAAACATCAACAGCGATTGCATCATTATCGTCGTCGTCGTCAACATCAATGCGACCGCGGGTGTCATCCCACTTTGCCGCCAGCGGGTGATTTCACGTCAAGTAAAGGGCAGACATCGTGGAAGACAGCCAGCAGCGATGCCGCGTGAATAATTAACGAGACCTGGGGGGGGGGGGGGGTGCATCCTCGTTACGCGGAATTCTACCGCTGGCTTTCGTTTTCCACACTCGAGCGAGAAACGGAAATGTTTTTTTTCGAGGTCGCGAGCGCCACGTGATCGAAGGAAGAACAGTTTGACGCGTCGTAGGAGGAGGAGGCTTTCGCGACCGGTATTGTTCATCATAAAGGTGTTTGGGTTATATCGCGTAAGTATGAATGTGTCGTGACCCTCCACCACCCGGCAAGGCCAATCAGTCAGGGATTTGTCACGTTAACAAAACGCTCCAATTAGTTTACTACCTCAGCCCACCGGTGTGTTGGAGAGTGAATCCACAACATCCAGCATCATCGGACGAGTTTCCAAAATAGACTTTTCAATTTGAGAATACGACTCAATTTGTGGATTTTGACACATTTATACTTACGCGATCTAACCCAAAAAACTTTATTACGAAGAGGGAACAGTTTACGTTTTCATGCAGCCAGACGTCATCGAGTAGCGGGGTGAAAATATATGTTACGTGCAAAATTAATTTCTTATCGCTCAGATGGATGATTAACTGTTGAGTTTTGTGCGCGAGTTTTTTGTTGTTGTTGTTGCTTGAAACGGCATTGATGTATTTGTATTATTACTGACGATGCCGCTGTATTTGGCAGTGGTGCACAAAGACACAATTAATTCGACGCATTGGGTCAAGAACACTGCAGCCCTAAAAACGAAAAGCAAGTTGATAAAATATTTACTCGGGTGTCAGAAAATATCAAAAACAAAGATCTCCTGTATTGCCTTAATAAACTGTTGGGGCAAGTTCTGTTATCAAACATCTATGAAGCATCTATGAACCACCAATATGACAAGACAAAGATCCCCCGTACAGCCTCAACAGACTGTTGGGGCAAGTGCTGTTAGCGAGCACCTATGGCCACCCCACCCCCTCGGCACACAAGGGGGTGGGGGTGGGGGTGGCCAGCATCACAACCGACCGCCTTCGCCTCGCTAGTGGCGATGTTTACACACCGCACTAGATACTCATTTAAGGCTGAGTCGACCTAGGGGAGGCCCATGACCGCTTCAAATAATCGTCAACTGGGTGCTGGCCGTGAGCGGGAATCGAACTCGGGACCACGAGGTTTGTAGCGCGGCGAGCTACCCTCTACACCACCGCACCAACACAAACACACGCGAGCGAGAGAATCATCCACTCTCGTCCAAGGGTGGCCCACGCTGCGCTGTTGGTCACGGGCGCGTTTGCGGGAGGTCGACGGTGGCGTTCCGCACTGCGTGCCCTCTCGCTCCCCTCGTTTCTGCACGAGCATCGAGAGTGAACGCGTTCACTCCGCGTCGGTATTTTTTTTGCCCCCTGCTCACCGCTGGGTCGCTGCGTCGATGCAGTCTTCATCACCCCCCCCCCACACACACACACCTACCTGCAGGGAGGGCGGCTCCTCTGGGAAACCGAAAGGCAATTTTGGAAAATGTACAAAACTCCCTGGCGGCACAAATACCAAGCAAAGGTTACGGCTAGGCGCAAGTTCGATCAGCACGCTAACACGGCGATTTTTCTTCAAAGTTATTTTTAGATATTCTTGTTGTTGTTGTTATTTTGTCGTGCGCTACATGCCAACCGTGGCTCTACTCCTCCAGACATCCGCGGGCGTTTAAGTAAAGGAGTGTGGGAGGGTTTGCCCGGGGGGGGGGGGGGGTGGCTCACCGAGGTTCACGACGGCCGTGTCCGTACACGACGAGGCTGCAGCCGCGATCCCATTTGTCCACGAGATTCTGATGGGGTTTTGTTTTTTGTAAAGCATTATTCACGAACGGCCGCTTGCTTTCAATTTTTTACTTTACACGTGGCTTTGTGTGATTCGTTTGAAACTCTGGGTTTTTTTTTTCGGTCGGGACGATTATTCCGTGACGACGACGATAATAATGATGATGACTATGATGGGTATTTCTCATCACTTACAGACAGATCTGATGAACCAATGAGTTTGAGCCGCCAGTCGTTAAAGCGGGGGGTGAAAAAGTGCAAGCGATCCACGATTTCATATATTTTTATCCGGGTCCTCCAGTTTTCCCCCTCCACATTTATAGTTTTTGGTTGCTATACATTTCCACGTGATGATAAGCCACTTCGTTGAGCTATTATTTGTGGCCATGTCGCTTCTGGTAAAATAAAAATAGTTTATAATTTTAGTTTTTCACGAGATAGCAAAACTGGAATACGATTGGACGAGCGAATGGCCCGGTTGCTGTCGCAAGTCTTGCAAATATAGTTACGTAGCGATTTACAGTGAACATTTCTTGTTTCTTTAATCACAAATTCTCTCCCAGCTTTGCTATCAAGAAGCTAAAAAGTGTGCAACGAAGCATACAGAGGTGACCCTCTCTCTCTGTCTCTCTCCAAAGCAACGACGTGGCTATCGGATACCCTGGCGGTGCAACTGCATTCGGGGCCACGGGCTGGAGGAGTCAAGGTGCGGGGAAGATGGGACGGAGTGTGGGGGGTGGAAGGGTGTGAGAATTCGACAACAGGGGGTGAGGTGCGAGTGTGGGGGGGGGGGGCATTTTATTCTTTGCACCGTGGCCCATGCCAAGCACGCTTTGTCATTGCTCCAAGACCCCAGGGACTGGGCAGAACGTCCTGCAGTCTCCTCTAACCCCCCCCCCCCCCCGTCAGCTCACCTGAGGGCCGATGCCCTCTTGGCTACCTGGGGCATTCTTTTCACAGCTGGGGAACAAGAAGAACAACACAGCACCCCCCACCCCACCCCCGACCTTCCCTCGGCCCTTAATATTCACTCAGTATGTTAGGGGAAACTAAGAGCTATTTATTTATTTATTTGAGCAGATAAGGCCTACTGAGCTATGTAGCTCTTTTTCTAAAGCGACCTGGCCACAAATGATAACTCAATGAAGTGGCTTATCATGTGGAAATGCATATCAGCCAAATGGTCTAAACGCGTTTTTCTAAATGTGGAGGGAAAAACCGGACGACCCAGAGAAAAATTCACGCGACTACGGAGAGAGAGAGACATGTAAACTCCAAATATTACGGCAGAGGTCAGAGTCGGCATCGAACCCACAACCTCCTGTACACCAGGCGAGGTAGTTGACATCTCCTAGCCAGCGTGGCGCCAGTGACCTTTTCCCTCCCCCCTTCTCACTCCCCCGTGTAAATATTCACCCCCCCTCCCTCCCACGCGTGGTCCAAACCCCTCACCCTACCCCCTGAGTACGGCCCCGTCGCGACAAATTCGAAGTCTCGCCGAGTTTCTGATCCCCGCCGATGTCGATTGGGTTATCGTACCGGGCTCGCGTTTTTTGTCGCAAATGAAAAACAACAAAAAATAAGAAGAGCAACGACACACAAACACAGACCTTGACCCTCACTGGCCATGCGGGTCAGCGGTAGAGCGAGCGGCCCCCGCAATTGGATGGTTCGTGGGTTCACATTCAGGTGGGGGGTTGACTCAGAGCCCATCATCGTTGTGGTGCCGATAAAACGAGCACCCATTCGTGGGGAACTCAACAATGGTTTGCTTGTGGGTTGCCTCTCTGCCCCACCCCCGCCATACGAACGTGGAGTTTCCACCCCTGGCTCAAGGGCGTTAAACGGGACGCTGAACACCGCCTCGTCGCTCGATTGGGCGAGAAATCACTCTTGACGTTTTATTTGATCTGCCCCAAAGATACGTGTGCTCGTGGAAACAAATATTTGATCGAACATTTTCCAAATGTTTGTTTCCACGGCAGCAAACGATACGTAGGGGAAGTCGCGTTTGTTGCCACCGGTGCCGCGACACACGACCCAGAATATTACGTCGAGGCAGAGAGCCGCTAGTTTTGTTGGCCTGCGTTTTTATTCAAGGTGGTGTTCTTACCGATGATATACGCGGTGTATGAACGAGGGGGGTGGTGTGGTGGGGGGGGGGGGGCTCTCATTACAGTGGCACCGCTCCAGGTGATCCCCACGCTTCCCGACAGAATTGTGACTCAAAGAGCGATCGCATTTCGCCAAATCCTCAAATGCCTTCCACAGCGCTCACCTCAAATCCAATCTGGAATCAAATTACAAGATGGCCCTCGCTGTTTTTAAGATCATAATTGGGCTTGCTCCAGCTTTGCCCCTCCCCTCTTGCCTCCTGTTTCGAAAAAAAACATGAAACCTTTCTTGCCAGTATCCTTTTTTTATTAAAGGGTAAAACCTATTCTTATACTTTTAACGTGGCTGTCGGATCGACTGTCAGCAGAAGCGATACAACATACATCTCGATTCGGGTTTCACAAGAGCATATATTGGCGATGCCAAGCCAACGTTCTTACATATATGGGCTCATCGCTGAATCGGCGATTTGTATGTACAGTATTTAGAACTTATTTAGCACCTTTTTGGTTCTTTCGGTAAAGTCACGTAGAAGGAAAATAATAAAATAATAAAAATTAAACATAATAAAATACAATTCTCACGACGTTTCGGCCACAACGCAAGCAGCCATCCTCAGGTGAAGAACAGGTCTGTCGGAAAGACAGCGTCTGATTGAACACCACCAAGCTTGGCAGCGTATATTTAAGCTGGGTTAGGGGAGGAAGGGCGCCATGACAAAGGAATTTACATATCACCAGAGGAATTTAGCATATTTATGGAAAAGCACCGTACGTAGCCAACCATGCCAATCAGAGGTGCGGGGAAGGATAACAAACCTAACACAAAAAGCAGTTCTGAAGAAACTAGTTTTCAATCTCGATTTGAAAGTGCATTGCTCCCAGTAGCGTCCTAATATCGGAAGAAAGAGCGTTCCAGAAGGCCGCAAAAACGGCCCTGAATGGGTCTCACACGGCGTGGCTACAATGCTTGAAGCTGATCGCAATGCATGATGGGAAACCTCTCTCGCTCGAACGCCTTCACAGCCGCCCCGAGACGTCCCCGAGGCACAAATCAGACTGCGGTGTCTAATACGAACAACTTAAAATGTCGTCTTCAGTAGGAAATTACCGTGGAAAGAATCGTAATATAAAAAAAAGTAAAAAATCACGACAACATTTTTATAGAAATTTTTTTTAATTAGAAAAATAATTTCTCATCTCCAGCTGCTTGGCGGGGTCAGCGCCCCAATCGCCCCTCGTGGACGAACCGCGCCCGGTGCCCGACGCGGCTGCATCGCGGCGCCGCGCTCGGCGTAAGTCGCCGTCTCGCCTCTCACCTTGAGCTCCACGTTGGGTTCGCGGAAGGAGAGCGACAGCTGGCGGATGTGCTCCTGCCGCAGCTTGTCCCCGCTGCGCACGTTGATGGCGTGCTCGATCCGCCGGCTGATTTCGTCGAGCCCCGTCGCGCCCGCCGACGGCATCGCCGGCGCCAGGTGGCTCGGCAGGAGGTTCATGGTGGTGCGCGTCAACGCCACCAGCGTCTGCGGCATCGGCGCACGCGGGCAGAAGGGGAACGGAGGAGACGGCAGAGGGGGGGCACGTGGTGCGCTTGAGCCGTCGGAAAGAGACGACGCGTGGAAACGACGTTGCCAACAAACATTGCCGATGTTTGGGCCAACTTTGGTTGACCCAACTTTGGAGCTATTAGATCAACATTTAGCCAACGTTGGAGCCATTGGATCAACGTTGGGCCAATGATGACCCGACGTTCGTTGACCCAACGTTGGAGCCATTGGATCAACGTTGGGCCAACGCTGGTCCAACGTTGGAGCCGTTAGATCAACGCTGGTCCGAAGTATTTTTTTTACTGGGTTGTTGGTGATTTGCCTTTGTTTCTACGTGCACAATGTCCGATGTTTCGCGGCCCGAATTCGAATCGTGCCAACGCCAAGATCAGCGACAATTATTTCAATTGGTCCTGAGCCTCCCCTAGATCGACTCAGCCTCAAATTAGTACCTGGTGCAATGTGATAACATCGCCACTGGGGAGACAAAGGCAGCTGGGCGTGGCAAGCTCACCCACCCCCTCGTGTGCCGTGTCGGCCTTCATAGGTGCTACTCGCTAACAGCACTTGCTCCTACAGTCCGTCCTGGCTATACGGGGGATCTTTGATTTTTAGCTGTGGGAGGAAACCGGAGGTAAACCCGCCACGCAGAACAGGGCGGAGAAGTAGGCCTCGGCAAGGTAAGGTAAAAGTGTAAAAACAACGAGCCTACCTTTTACCCTACCCTTTACCCTTACCCCTTGGCATGTCGACACCTTTACCTTTACCATTTTACCCGGTAAAAAGGGTATCATTACCTTACCTTGCCGAGGCCTACGGAGAAGGTAAACAACAAATACTCCACGTAGAACGTCACCCGAGTCGGCAATCGAACCCACGACATTCTCGTCGTAAGTGTTGCCACCCTGCCACCCCAACTCCCATGCCCCCCCTCCGCCCCCCCTGGCTACCGAACAAGCCACACTGGAAAGTTCTAGCCCTGCCTGCGCAGGTATCCCCGCTTCATTAATTCCACCGTGGCGGCTTCGTAGCACGAAGCCATTATCTCAGCAAGGGCGCAATCGTTGAACCCTGTGAAATGAAATAAATGAGAGTGGCAGGGTGGGTGGATGGGGGGGGGGTGCGCTGAGAGGTGGGAAGTGGGAGAGCTAGGGAGACCAACAAGTGCCTTGAGCCATAATATCCTCAGACTGATCGACTGAAGGACTCACTGATGGCGACCGAGAAACAGGGTGCTGGTTAAGGTCATCAACGGTCACCGTGGTGCAGAGATGTCAACTCCCTCGCCTGGTATGCAGGACGTCGTGGGTTTGATTCCGACCCCGACGCCTGTATATGTGGAGTTTGCGTGTCTCTCTCTCTCTCTCTACCCCCGTCGTTGCGTGGATTTTTCTCCAGGTCTTCCGGTTTTTCCCCTCCACATTTAGACTCAACGTCACGCGTTCAGAGCTATTTGGTTGCTATACATCTCCACGTGATGATAAGCCACTTGGTAGCTAGGCCGCTTCTGAAAAAAGAGCTATATAGCAGCTGTGTTGGCCTTACGTGGTCAAATAAAAACTAGTTTATAGATTAGAGTACTTTGTGATGAATGAGACAGGATTCGCTGGGGCTATTGACACAGGACACACCACAGCAGACTCGTCAATTGTAAGACACCAAGCTACGCCTCCCCCCCCCATCCCTCCCACTGTGAAACTGCAGCGGGCTCTGGTCTGAGATACATCGTGCCTTCTTATTCCTCGCCTTGCGCTACGCGGATGGCACGAATGGCAAAGGAGCGCAATTATCTCTCATGATCGAAGTCGCCGTCGTTATTCTCGGCGGAAAACTCAGCGAGGCCCCCAATGAACGAGTGACAAATCACTCGTCCAAACGGTGACTTAAGAACCAGTTCCTACTTTGCCTAATGTGTGCGGCCTCGTTCGTAATTTCTGTCTCGTGTTGTATGTCTGCTACTGCCTTGCCTGTCTTCCCACGTTCGCCAATCCGTGGTGAGGTGCGGTCAAACAAGCTCTGATGACCTGCACGGACGAGGGAGAGGCACCAGTGAATTGACAAAGGGAGTTGTTGTCTTATTGATATTATTCCCGCATTGGTGTTTTGTCATGAATCGTATCGGTGGGGCCAATTCGAGAGAACGGATGTGGGGAGGGGGAGGGTGGTAGGGGGGGACCGGGCCTGGCGCCACTCACGCTCTGCTTCACCACGATGTTGTCGAAGGGCAGCTCGGGGCTCCACGAGCTCTCGGAGGGCGTGAGCGACCGATGCCGCTTCTCACCCCCGCCGCCGGCACTGGCAGCACCGGAACTGCCACCACAACCACCAACACCACCGCCGCTACCAACACAGGCACCAACACCGGCACCACCACCACCACCGCCAACAACGCCAACGCCGCCACCACCGGGACCATCACCGACGCCGTCTGCGCCCCCATTCGCGCAGTGCCCGTTGGCGCTGCCAGAAGCTGCCGCCGCGGCGGCGGCCACGGACGATGACGACGCGGCCGGCGAAGTGAGCGGCACAGCGGCCGCGACGACCGGCGGCGCGGCGGCCACGGACGAGGCGGAGGAGGTGGCGCAGAAGAGGCCCTCCTCGGGCGGCTGGAGCAGCTGCTCCTCCTCGTCGGGACCCGAGCCGGCGCCGCCGCCACCGCCGCCGCCGCCGATGCCCCTCTGCACGATGAGGAAGGTCTCGATGGCGTGGCGGCGCAGGAACTCGTTGCGCTCCTGCCCGTTGCCGTCCTCCACGGCGTAGTCGCCCTTCAGGCAGTCGAGGGTCGCGCGCGAGATGTGCACGCGGCTGTGCAGGCGACGGGTGGGGCAGCGGTGGGGGAGGAGGGAGTGGGGGGGGGGCACGGGAGGTCACGGGGTCATTCGGTGGGATGGTTTCGATGGGGCGGATGAGCATAGTTTGACTTGCTTGGGCACCGGTTTCGTGGATTCAGTACGATCTGTTTAACACTTAGTCGGCTTTGTTATCCATCATTAAGGTTTTATTTTGGGGGGTTAGATCGGCGGTGGGTTTAACGACACATATATATATATATTTGCGTGATCTAACCCAAACAAATATTTTCTATCAGTACGATATGTCAACTGCCTAATTGGATAAACCGCGCCGGCCTTCAAAAGGTGTTCGCTATTAGCACTTGCCCTGACAGATGTTCAGGGCTATATGTGTACGAGTAACTCACATGCTCGCACACACACGCACGCACAATTATGAGACACGTGAAACGTGTGTTATCTACTTTACATTTGATTCCGCACGTATTTTTCCTGCCACCCAATAGCGAGTAATAGGTAACTATTCATATGCCCTATGGGGACAGGTGTCAGTTTTGTTGCCAGATAGAAGGGTAAAGAACCAATTATCATATTCATATGCCAATAACAAAAATCTGTTCATCAGGAAACTATCTTACAATTGACATCTTAATATGCCCCATGCTATAAAGTTCAATCTCCAACTGTTATCTGATCTCTCAACATACATGCGATGAAGAAGGGCCATTGCCTGAAACGTCACCTATTATATATAAATTAATACATTTTTTAAGGCCACGGTGTTATCGACAAACGTGTTTTGAGTTTTAAACTTGTTATCCCAATAATCAATCTCCAACTGTTATCTGATCTCCCTACATACATGCGATGAAGAAGGGCCATTGCCTGAAACGTCACCTATTATATATAAATTAATATTTTTTTTAAAGCCACGGTGTTATCGACAAACGTGTTTTGAGTTTTTAACTTGTTATTTGAGCTTGAGCACCACTGCCAACACAGCAGCAGCAGCAGCAGGTACATTTGAACTGAGGAGGGTGGCAAGACGTGGAGCGGTCGAGACACTGGCGGAACGGAGCGATACGGAGCTCTCGGCAAGCGAGCGAGCGAGCCACCGAGCACGACGGACGACGCACGGACCGACGTACCCTGGGATGCCGCCGGCTTCCATCTTGTTGGCGATGTCGACGTCCCACGACCAGACGTCGAACTGCCACTTGCGGAGGCCCAGCACCCCGCACAGCACCGAGCCCGTGTGGATCCCGATCCGCATGTCCACGTCGTGCTTTGTGGTTTTCCGCACGAACCTGTGGCGAGGCCAGGAGGCGCCGGGGTGATGAGGAGACATTCATAATAATAATCATAGTTCAATTTTTAACGCGCGCAAATTTGCAGACGTAGTGGCCGCAACTCAGAGGCGCGGAGCCAAGCTCAGAGTCGCTCGAAAGCACGTGGTTGTAGAGGTGAGTTTTTAAGTCTCTCTTGAAGGAGGCGATTGAGGTGCTGCTGCGAATGTGCAGAGAGATATCGTTCCAGACTGTTGGGGCTGCCACCGATAAGCGGCGCATCGGGTGATGGTTGGCTATCTCATTATACGTGGAGCGATTGGACCGACGTTGAGCCGACGTTGGGCTGACGTTGGGCCGATGTTGGGGTGACGTTGGGTCGACGTTGAGCCGACGTTGGGCCGACGACCAACCGACGTTGGACTGACGTTGAACCGACATTGGGCCGACGTTGGGCTGAGCGTTCCAACCACATGCCCACGTCGGCACAACGCTGGTATGCTGACTGGGTCGGACTATGTCAATTTACGTCGCGGAAATTACTGAAATGGAGGCGGGGGCGGCCAGGACTGCTTCAGATATTACTCACCGCCTATGCCGGCTGTGGTGGGTAATCAACATCAGCTTCCAGTTCTAGATTTGAAGCTTTCGTGACTGCAAGGATTCATATTCTTAGGTTTTTTCGGTAAAGTCACGTAGGCAAATTTTTACCTACGTGATTTTACCGAAAAAACTAAGAATATCAGCTTTCCAGGTTCACGGCGCTATATATATTTGGTTGTTCGACCCTCAAAGTGTCCGACGCCGCCCCCTTGCCACCAGATGAGACATCGGCAGTGGGACAGCGTCCTGGTCAACTTCGACCGCCGCCTCTGGATCCACGGCTTAGCCTCCTCGCTTTTCAATTTGCGACCGAGCAATAATTTAATTCACACGCGGCAAATGAGAAAGGCGCGCACGCAAAAGGCATCAATTTGCACGGGTTGTAAATGTTTCGCGGTGGCTTGCGCGGGTGAGCTACAGCCGAGATGCCCGTAACGAGAAATCGTTTTGTGCTTCGCGAAATGAGGATAGATTCAATTCACGACGACTCGGTGGCATCTGCTGGGTTTTTTTTTCTTTTTTCTGAATTTCGTTGGGAGAGTCGGCCACGAGCTAGCTCACTCCAGTTCCGATCATCATCATCATCAGCAGCAGCAACATCAGAATCAAATTCATAATCATCTTTAGCATCATCGACAGCAGCAGAGTGATCATCTTTGTTATCAGTACACGAAATGACAATTATCACTGTCCACATGATCATCAGCAAAATCATTACCATCAGCAGCGGTCATAAAATAATAGTCGGCATCATCATCGTCCAGTCCTCTATGTATTCTCTCCGACAATACAACTGGAAAAACGAGAATTTCAGGCAGTGTAGCAGGACGGGGTGAAGTCAAGACGCAGAGCAGCGTCCGGCTAACCGCACAGTCCGGCGTGAGGTCACTTCCACGATTTGACCGCGGGTTACTTTGGGAACCTGAGCCACGAACATCGACGCGGGCACACTGACTGACCCCTTCCTCCTCCGGGGTCGTGTGACCTTGGCCTGTGGCGTCGCTTCTCACGGCAGACAGAAAGGAGGCCCATTTGCCCCGACTCGCCTGCGGAGGCACTGTCAACCGTTGGAATGGAAGCCGTGCGATGCGCGTCAACTGGCTCGTCGTCGAGTGGTATCGTGAATCACTATTCCGGCGACGTTTGGTCACCCCCAGGAAAGCCTTGCCAGGTGCGAAGCCACCGACTACGATGATGCCCACGTGCAAACGCGCACGCAACGGTGTTCGCTCGCTCTCCATTAGCACGGGGATGGCTACGTAGAGTGCGAAAACAAACGCACGCGCATACAGACAAGGCAGCAGCAGCAGCCAAGGCGGTAAGCCCGCATTACCAAAAATTGCCCAAACTCTGCAGTCCTCTATATATTCGGACGTTTTCAGCCAATGCAGTGAATTGTTTGTGTCGCTGCCGTGACATCATCTTCCACGGCCTTACTCGGACGCGGGGTGGTGCATTGCTTGCCGCGGGAGTTCCAAACGGAAATTCACTTCCTCGTTTACGGCAACGTGGCATCGGTGGGGGCGTGAATGGAGAATTATTTGGCGGAGGATAAAAAAAAATTGAATAATAATGAAAAATATTCTCTTCTCACTCGCTGCCCGCTTGTTCGGGTTCGTATAAATAACCTAATAAGGTCAGATCCAACGCCAGTTAGTGCAGTAATTCAGGCAGAACAACTTTTGCCTGGGCTCACTTCAACGCCTCTGGAATACCAAGCAGTTTGAAAATAAAAAAACCACAAAGAGAGAGAGAGGGTGAGAGTGACTCTGCAAGCTGCACGGGAAGACCGGGGCTGACAGGGCTCCGATGGTTGGGGCTGGGGACAGGCCTCTGATCGTTGCGGTTGAAGACAGGGGCTCAATTGTTGGGCTGGCGACAAGGCCCCGATGGTTGGGGTTTGACAGGGCCCCGATCGTTGGGGCTGGAAAAAGGGCCCCGATGGTTAGGGCTGGCGACAGGGCCCTGATCATTGAGGCTGGCGACAAGGCCCCGATGGTTGGGGTTTGCCAGGGCCCCGATCGTTGGGGCTGGAAAAAGGGCCCCGATGGTTAGGGCTGGCGACAGGGCCCTGATCATTGAGGCTGGTGACAAGGCCCCGATGGTTGGGGTTTGCCAGGGCCCCGATCGTTGGGGCTGGAGAAAGGGCCCCGATGGTTGGGGTTTGCCAGGGCCCTGATCATTGAGGCTGGTGATATGGCCCCGATTGTTGGGGCTGGAGACAGGACCCCAAGTGTTCTTGTCACACGGCGGTGCTCCCACCGCTGGCTTTTATCGCGAACTGAATATGATTTTTTTTTAAAAAAGGAAATAAATCTAAGCGGTGACTCTATCTCATTGTTTTTCAGGCCAGCTTTTTTTTTTTTAATAACATGTCGAAATGTCCTCGTCGCTTGCGCGAGACGCTAATGAATGTTTCATTTTCGGCAGGCGCGGCAGCTCCGCTGTCTTGATTAATTTGCACTTAAGCACCCGCAAAAATGCATCATCTCACGCCATCCTTATCAACAGCGCCGAGTGTTTTGCCTCCCTCTCCCCGACACCTTCAAAACTCCAAGACACCTCGGCTAATAAGCTCTTACGTGTCCACGTGTGTCTACGCGTGCACGCGTATTTGCGTGCGCGTGTGTGCGTACGCGCGTGTGCCTGCGTGCGTGCGGGGAAGCGTTGGCGCGCATTGGATGATGCATCGACGCGCTAACCAACCCAGCCACCCGAGTTTGATTCCTGGCTCGCTGGCAGAACTTTGCCCCAACATCGCGTCCAACGACGCACAGAGGGCACTTTTGTGCTTGCGTGCGATTGTGTCTATTTGTGGGGGAGCGGTGGCGCAGTGGTTAGAGCACTGCTGCGCTACAAACCCAGCGTCCTGAATTTTGAGTCACGGCCACGAATAACGTCAGATGTCATTGACGTCTTACCTAGTGCTGACCCTCCCTTAGGTTGGCTCCGACTAAAGCTAAACTTATTATTGCTAGCAATTTAAAATTCACCTTCAACGAAAATTACCGACCGTGTAAGACGATGAGCATATCACCTGCAACGCGCCGGTACTAGTCACAAGCTGAGTGGGGTTGAACCTGCGACAGCCATGCATAACAGGTTGCTATAGGATGTTGCGGGACCACGCAACATCCGCGCTGACCAGAGGAGTGAAGTATGGTCTAATGGGCCCGCAGCACGGAATGGGGATGGCGCTTGCACGGAAGTGGATTTCACGAACGAGCTGCACGTGGACGAGACGATGCGGCCACGGAGCCCGATGCTCGCAAAACCCCACATGAGGCCACGGATAAAACTAAAAACAACTAAATGAAACAACTTTTTATTTTTACCAGGTAAGGCCCCACTGAGCTTATGTAGCTATTTATCAGAAGCGGTTTGGCTATCACAAATGAAAGCTCAAACGAAGTGGCTTATCACGTGGACATTTATTTGCAATCAAATACCCTAAACGAATGTTGAGTCTGCGTGTGGAGGGAGAAACTGGAGGACCCGGAGAAAAACCCACGCGACCACGGAGACAGAGACTGGCAAACTCCAAATATGCAGGAGTTCGGGAGCGAACCCACGACCTCCGCATACCAGGCGAGGTATTTAACGTCTCTTAAAGGCAAGAGCAGGTTTCGCGTGGTGTCCGCGTTTATCGCCGTGTCATCTTGTCATCTCAATAAATGTGCACGTTCCTCGTCCGGAGCGAATTAATTTGAATCTGATCAATACCACGCTCCAAATCGTCCGCGAAGAAGCGTCCGTAAATTTAATGACGCAAAATTGACGCGACGGAGGGAGGCTCGTTTTGGGGGAGGGGTTGCTGGGGGGGGGGGGATTGCTGGGGCAGGGGGGGGGGATTTGCAATGAAGCAGGTAGCTGTAAACAAAAACACGTAAACATACATTATAAGTAAAAAAAATACCGACAGTCCCGCGGGGCCACTGAACAAAATTGAAACGCTACAAAGAACGCAATGACGAACGTGACCGAAAACGTTCTTCAAAAAGAGGAGTGTTTAAAAAAAAGGTAATAAATGAGAGAGTCACCCGCAGCGCTCGCTCACCCACTCACCCACGGCGGGGAGCCGGGGGGGGGAGGTTGAGACGGAGCGAGCGGGGCTAATGAGCCGCGGCGTCGGCACGGGCTGAGATGGAGGACCTCCGGTGGGGACACGTGGCCGCAGACAAAACGGAAGAAAAAAAACGACGACTGCGGCGATGATGATGATCGCGACCCATACTCGTCGTACAGGACGGGGCGTATCACAGGCAGGCGGGCGGGTGGGTTGTTACTATTATCATCATTTTTTTAAATGCCCCCCTCCCCCCACATCGCCGTCGCCGCCGACTGAACAGCGGCGGAGGGAGAAAAATAAGAGCCGGCAGAAGATGAGCTTCCTTGTCGCTCGGACAAAGCTAGCGATGGCTGGGAGGGCGTACACATAAATAAGCATATATATATTTTTTTACTTTAATCGAGCGTCAATCCGGAGGCATTCTGAGATTTATGTTGATTAACTGGGGCGGTGGTGCAAGATTGATTGCTGCAATGCTCGCCGCAGCAGAGAAATAAAACTGTCGAGTGTATTCCATGTGAAGAATCCCTTGACTGTGACATGTCTGCCGGCCGCCTCTGCGTCGATCAACTTGCATGCCCGAGTCCCCCCGTACGGAGTGCCCAGACTCAATCGCATTTAGACGCCTCGTCAATTCAAGCTCTTCCGTGTAATTGTATTGCCGCTATTTGTAATTCACGAAAATGAATGCGGTGTCGCAGCGGCGGCTGTGCCAAATGAATTCTAAAAGAAACGTCTTGAGGATGGAATCGCTGAAATTAATTAACGATCACTGCTATTGCTTATTTTCCATTAAAATTACCCTCGACATAAGCACCCTTGTTCTGGTGTGACGTGAGAGAGAGAGATAATATGTTATTTTAAACCGGGTGAGAGCCCTTTGCTGCATTAGTGGAGAGTAGTTGCAGAGTGGTTAGCGCATTGCTCGACGGATCCAGCAACTTGAGTTTGATTCCCAGGCACAGCTGACATCGGTGGTGAAAAGTGATATCTGCATCGATCCAAGGTTGATTAATTTGCACGAATCAGCGTGGCTAAGTATGGTCAAACAAGGCCCTGTGGCCGACATTGTGCGGGGAGGTGTTCATCCAGTAGTGGATTGAAAAAAGGGATTGTAAATTATTATTGCTGAATATTAGTATTATTATTGCAGCATGTAAACGTGACAGCACCAGGTGGGTACATGCATCATATACAGGGTGGCCCAAAAGAGAGGGTTATTATATGTACAGTATTCTAACAAGTTACATAGGATGAGTTGAATTATTTTAACACATGTTCAAGCTGATTTCCATCAACATTAATGCGTGCTTGAATTGTCTTTAGAAATTAATGTAGCCCCTTTAAGCTTGCAGGTGTGCGATCTTTGAACATTCATCAATTATGTTTTGTGTCATCTCAGTCAAATTTGATTTCCATTTTTAAATGGCATCTGAAAATGAAAAGGAAAAAGAAGAATAAAGAAAAAAAAGAAATAAAAAGAAAAAAAATTGTCGATAATAATAATGGATACAATATTAACGCAACGAATAAACAATAAAAATGTTTAATGCTAGTGTTAAAATAAAAACAATAACCATATGTGTCCTGACTGTTTGGGCCCCCGTGTATGGAGACAAAGGGGCACAGTGAAGGTGCGTGCTTGGAATATCACTGAGAGGTGGGAACAGGAACGGCGTGGATTATAGAACACAGTCAAGTTCAGACATCGTATTGACTCTTGATAAAACAAAGTAAGCGGGACTTTGGCAGGACACGCCGTGACTGCAAGGGATGCTGGCGAGTGGCCAAGACCAACTGCAGAGGGGCAGCCAAAGGACAGATCGTGGCGTGCACAACGGGAACGGAGCCGGCGACGTTGGGAGGGCCTTCGTCAAACGGTGGATAGCCGACGAGAGGAAGCGAGGTGGTGGTGGGTGGCTCGTGAAGGACGCCGCTACTGGGCAGTTGGAGGCAGTCGCCCTCCAACAACAACGGAGGGCAGAGGAGCGACGCTCACAGCCGCGAGCCAGAGCGCCGGGGCGCTGAAACGCAGCAAGTTGGCACAGTATGGGGCGTAGCTGGTGGTGCATCTGCCAGTCATCTCAGTCAGTCGAACCCATGGCACCTGCTGGGTCTGTCCCGTGACCTGTCAGCGAAGCCTTCGACACTTCACGTGGCCTCAAAGTGCACCTGGCCTGGCACAGGCCCTGCGGTAACATCACCGTCACTTAGTGGTGAATGGCGAGGCATTGGTGGTGGGGTGATTGGGGAGGGGGGGGGTCATTGCGCTCACCGGATGGCGCGGATCATGCCGAGCCCCATCTCGACAGAGCAGTGCGCGTGGTCGGTGCGCGGCTCGGGCAGTCCCGACACGCAGTAGTAGCAGTCGCCCAGGATCTTGATGCGCAGGCAGTGGTGCTCCTGTGGCGGGAGTGGAGCGCACGCACCCGAATCGTCTGAGCCGGCTCGCGACGGGGCCGCCCCAGACTCAGGGTCAAGCCTCTCAGCGAAGGGGCAAAGGGTATCGAATATCCTGCTGGACCCCTTCACCCACCCTCCTTCCAGCCCCCACCCCTTGACCCCCGTCTGGCCCCCTGTCCTGACCCCAGCAACGGCAGCAACACCCGGCAAAATTTGTACTTTAAACTTTCGTGACTGCAGCAATTCATATTCTTTGGTTCTTTTGGTGAAGTCGCGTGGTTAGGAAAAGAAGAAGCCACCACCCAGCTCGCCCCCCCCCCCGGCTGCTGTGCCCGTGGAGATATCGGGGTCGGGAAATGAGCGCAATTATCTGACTCGTTGCGATTCGCCAGGCTCGGCCTCGCATTTAAATTGCAGCTAATGGGGGTGGGGTAGGGAGGGGGGGAAGGTGGGAAGGGAAGGTGAGGGGGGGAGGTGGGGGAGGAAGGTGGGGGGGAGGTGGGGGGGAAGGTGAGGGGGGGGGAAAGAGGGGGGGGAGGTGGGGGGGGAAGTGGGGGGAGGGAGGTGGCGGGGGAAGGTGAGGCGGGGAAGGTGTGGGGGGAGGTAGGGGGGAAGGTGAGGGGGGGAAAGTGGGGGGGGGGGGAAGTGGGGGGGAAAAGGTGGGGGGGGAAGGTGGGGGGGGGGGAGGTGGGGGGGGGAAGTGGGGGGGAGGTGGCGGGGAAAGATGGGGGGGAGGTGGGGGGGAAGGTGGGGGGGGAGGTGGGGGGGGAAGATGGGGGGGAGGTGGGGGGGGAAGTGGGGGGAGAAGGTGGTGGGGGGAAGTGGGGGGGGGGGAGGTGGTGGGGGGAAGGTGAGGGGGGGAAGGTGGGGGGGTATTGGGGTTGGAGCTGTCATTCCAAGCGATGTCACCCCTCCCGTTCGCGTGTCTCCCAGCCGCGAGCGTCTCGAGGAAAATCTGGAACTGGCCGAGCAAAGAGACGCGGTACCCCGACGCGGTTTGATTTGATTCAAAATAATTGCGGGCAAAAGGAGAGAACGCGCGCGCGCGAGCCCCCTCACGGCCGCCGCGGAGACGGAGCGATGAGACGAGTTGGTGTGCAGGGGGAGGTGGGAGTGGGATGGATCGCAGCGCCAGCGGAGCATGAAGCAAGGCGATGGACTGGGGAGGCCTCCCTTCGACGGTGGAGCTACGCAACCTTTTACATCTCGATTTACATCATCTCGATTTACCACTCGATTGAAGACTCATTTCTTCACAACGGCTTTTTAAATCCTTTATATTAAGTTCGCTTGCTTGCTTAGGACCGTGCAAATCTTTCGGTCGTTTTTTAACCCACTTCCCGTGATCCAATCGAGCTGACATTTTCTACACAGACTCGTTGTGCGTGACAATTAATGTTCGTGAAAATTTTTTTCCAAAATTTTACACTTTTTAGGACAAAAATATTATATTTAATTACCAATTGCTTAATGGTGCAATGCAATCATCTGACCCAT